TTTATAAAACGCTCCTAATTAATTATCTTACTAAAAAAAGCAGCCTTATTTTTAGTAGTAGTAAAGGCGTTATTAAGCGCTTATATAGCTTTTTATTAAGCCTTAGAGAGAGGGTAGCTAAGAGTATTAAGAGCTATACTATTATAAGTAAGTATTAAAAGTAAACTACTAAGACTATAAAAAGTAGCATAAGTAGAATAGTTTATAAAAAGGTTACTAAGCTATTACTAACGCTTATAAAAATAAGCACCTATAGAGGGGGATTTAAAAGTATTAGAATTAGTATCCTTATTAGACTTTAAGAGAATCTTATTTTTACTACTAAGAATATAACTAGTTTTAAGAGTATAACGCTTACTTAAGGTTATAGTACTATAGCTATAACTAATAGGAGTAGTACTATAGATAGTAATAGTATATAAGGGGATATTATTTACTAAGTACTTACTAATAAGATAGTAAAACTTCTTAAACTTAGGGAATAAGTTAAGGCGCTTAATCTTATTACTAAGGATAGTATAGACGTTATACTCCTTAAGGCTTTTTATTACTAACTTAAGAGTAAAGGCTTAGCTATTATTATAAAAGTAGGTAGGCTAAAAAGTATAAAAGTAAGAATATATCTTATCTTTATTAGAGGTATTAAAAAGGCTAGCCTGTATTAAGAAAATAAAGGTTAGTTATAAAATAGTTACTAAAGATATACTAAAATATACTAAAATTTAAATTATAAGAGCTATATACTTATAAGAGGAAGTAAGCTCTTAAAGAGTTACCTATTTAAGATAGACTTTCTAACTGCTTACTAATAGGTTAGTAATATAATTACTAATATACTCCTAAGTAGAAAAGTAATAAGTAAAAGTAAAAATAATATAACTATAGTTAATAAAACCTAACTTACTATTAGCCTTAAGCTTATAGTAAAATATTATTATATTCTAGCTATACTAAGTAGTATTAAAAAGCTCCTAAGGGACCTAAATAAATATTAGTAAGAATAATAATAACTTACTAATAAGAGGGTAACTTATTATAAAATATTTCTTTTTATTAACCTAGTAAAAAACACACTTAGTAATATAGTAACTAGTAATATAAATAAGGCTATTAATATTATAATATATACTAAATAAGTAGTAAATATAAAAAGCACCCCTATAGAGGCTATAAAAGCCCTTATAAGGATTATACTCCTACTTAATAACTATCTATATATAAGAAATAATAGATATTATAGTAATAGTTTAGTAAAAGCTAGGTAAGTAAAGTAAGGGTTAGAATTAAGAAAAATAAGAAGGTAAAAAAGCGTAAAATAAAGATTATAATATAAAGACGTAATAATAAAAAATTATAAAAAAGTTACTAAGCTATAAAGAGGGAAAAAAAAAATAAGTAGCTAGTAATAAGAAAAACTTTTTACTTAAGTAACTAATAGGTAAAAGGAAAATAAACTAAGCAGCTAGTTAATATATTTACCTTTATATAACTATTTTATTTTTATCTAATAATTTAACTTAGTAACTATTTACTAGCGTATTACTAAATAAAACATATAAAGTATATATATCTTATAAATAATAGTAATAAGGTAACTAGATTAATAAAATAATAAAGAGATTTAATCTAGATAATAAGGAGGATAAAAAGCTATCTAGGGCTAATAAAAGGGACTATATCCTGTTATTATTATTATTAGGTTATTAAAGGAAGTTACGTAACGACTTTAGGATAAAGTTACTTAGGGAGGGGAGTAATTATAAAAGGATTTATAACAGCAGTTATAGGTCTTAGTAATTAGTTGCTAAGGCTCTAGTGACCCCACCCTACTGCAGAGTTATTATAGCAAAGGCCTAACAAGATAGGGGGCTCTATAAGCTTAAGTCTTATAATACACTAATACCTACTATTAAGCCCTACCTAGTTAAGTGCCTATAGCTAAATATCTTATAAGTAAAAGAATAGTAAGGAGTTAGTAAGAATATATTATAAAATATTTCTTCTTATTAATAGTATAGGTTATATACTTAGTAATATAGGCCCCTTAGTAATAAAGGAGGTAACTAATATTATAATAAAGCTATCTAAGGTAATTAATATAAGGCGTACTACCCTTAAGGCTATTAAAGCCCTTCTTCTTATTATAAGGAAGCTTAAGGATATTTATAATATAGATAATAACGCTTATAATTATAAAACGTTTACTATAAAGATAAAAAAAAGAAAAGAATACTAAGAAAAAAGTAAGAAACTTCTTAAAATAAAAAAAAGAAATTAGTAAAAAAGTAGTAAAGACTTAGTAATAAGAGTTTAAATAGGAGAGGAAAAAAAAAGTAAAAAATATAAGGAAAAAAAAATAATAAACGCTTAGTAAAACTATAATAAAAAGGAAAAGTAATAAAAAAAAAGTTCTTATATAGAGGTAATCTAAAAGGTATTTATACTTAAGAAGAAAAAAAGTACTTATATAACTATATAATAAATAGTTACTAAAGTAAAAAAGAAAAAAAATAATAAAGTAAGGTAAATAAAAGTAAGGTATATATAAGGGAATAATTATAATAATAATAAAGCTATAATATAAGAGAAGAATTTTTTACACCTAAAAGATAAGTCTAAAAAAAACTAGTAAATAGTAATAATAATATAAAAAAGACTTTAGTAAAAAAGAATAAGATAATAAAAGTAACTACTTAGTAAAATAATACTAAGTATAAAGGTATTTATAATACTAAAAAGAGGCCTTAACTAGCTAAGTTAATAATTAGTTAGTAATAGGTTACTAGAGTAGGACTACTAGAGAACATAAGGTGTATAGCTATAATAGAACGCTATAAATAATAGAGCCTTAGAAGGCCTTAGGGACTAAGGCCCTAGGAAGAGGGATAATTATAAGGGTGTTAAGATAAGGGTTATATAGAAACTATAGTAAGACCTTAGTAATATATTAGTAACTATTTACTATTTAGTCTAGGCTAGAGGGGGAAAATCTTAGACTCCCTAGCAAAAAGTCTAGTTAATAGAATAGACCTACCTTTTATACTCTTCTTAGTTAAGGCACTTAGCTATATACCTTTATAATTACTTACTATAAGAACTAAGTTAGCCTTTATACTATAACAGATTATATTAAAAAAGCCTAAGAGCTACTTTTAAAGTAGCTAGACGTTTTTTACTAGCGCTAAATCTAATTTTCTAATAAATATTACTTTAGCCTTAGGCTAAAAAAAAGAATTTATATTATTTAAAAAGATAATAAGAAATACTATAATAACTACTACTAAGAGGTTAATACCTCTTAAGATAAGCACTAAAAAAAGGTCTATATATAAGTAGCTATTAGATATAACTTTAAAAGTAACCTTATATTTTATAACGCTAGTAATTATAATAGTAAGATAACTTATAACTACTATATTAACTAGATTCTTAAGCCTTATATTAAATATTAGCTTAAATATAGTAATAACTTTATTCTTAAAAAAAATAAAGATTTAGGGTATAGTCTTTTATAGAGAAATAAAGTCTAGGACTAAAAGACAGCTTATAGTCTAAAGTTTTACTTTAATTATTATAACAGCCTAGATTAAAGTCCTATTAAGAATTACTAGTCTATACTAAAAGAGACTATAAGGTAGTATTTATATTAAGATAAAAGTAAAGTTATTAAGCTAGCTATAAAGGCCTAGGAGTAAAAGTTATAGTAAGAGACTATTAATAAGTAGGTAGATTAAATACCTTAGTAACTTAAAGAGACTATTATAAGAGAGGGTAAAATAATATAATTCTAATAGATAATATTATAAGTATTTAAAATTACTTATTTATATAGTAATATTTAGATTATTATAGTTCTAGTTATAGGGGTAGGGAAAAGGAGCATTTAGTGTAGGTGGGCTAAAGTGTGCATGTTTTTTTGCGCTCTGCGTGCTAGGTAAGTAGGTATCTGTAGGTATGTGTCGTCCCATGGTCCGGCAATAGTTAAGATTGGCCGAGCGGACGAGCTGTGCAAGTCCAAACAACAACGGAAGGGTTGGGCAATGACGGTAAGAACACACAGACGGACGACTTTGTCTGTGCTAATGTGTCTGTCTGCATGCCGTTTCCTGCATTGTCGACGTTCGCTCCCGAGACACAACCAGTCTGTGCGGGATCATCAACATCCTGAAAGCAGTTAGTGGGGGCGCGCCGTTGCTGGCATTTAGCTTTCGGTCCCTTGATTTATACACTGGGCAGATGGGATCTCAGAAGCGACGTGAACGTTAATTTCTACTACCTGCCTACCTAAACTACCTGACTGCTTTACCTAGGTAGACACCTACCAGTTATGTACTCCGTAGGTATACTACCTACTACCTCCCTACCTGGGTAGGCACCTAACCTTGCGCACTTGTACACCTACACTACCTAGGTAATTGATAGGGGACCGGGACCTTCCACTGAAGCGGGACTTGGGCCGGGCACATCCAACCCTGAAAGGAACTGCTGAAAATCCTGCATGTCGTTGGTCGAGACAGCAAACTCCAACTCAATTGCAGTATTGGCTCAACCCCCCACGTCTGCAACTCACTGCATCTTAAGAAGTTCGCCCTCTTCTTGTTATCCGCTTCGCATCCACATGCCGGCTGCAATAATTGCGCTCTAGCTAGTGCCAATTTTAGCTGCTCTCCCACGTGAGGTACCTAACCTACCTAATTAACTACTCTTTCACTTACACCTATTCTGCCCTTGCCCACCACTTTGCCGCCTGAATCTGCCGTAACCGCGTCTCAACGCGTCTTGTGCCTCCTGGTCTCGTACACGCCCCAGCCCACCACCGCCGCACACGTACTACTTGGGACACTCTCGGCCTGGACTCTGTAGCTGTCGAATCTCAACTTACGGACAAAAGCGAATAGCGTCGCAGCAAAAAGGGAACACTCAGCCCCATCGCTCGAACGTTGTCCCTCTCGTTGTGTTCTCGGACATCTGATCTCAACCTCAACAGTCGCGATCTGACAATGGCCCCCATATCCACACCGACTCCTTACGATTTTCCAAGGTTAAGAGTCTCGGTCCATCTTGAGGTATGTGTGCTAGCTCACACCAATCATGCCAAGGCCCCTCTTGTTGTGGCTATCCAACTTGTCCATGAACCTAGTTCCTTCTGGATAAATGCCAGTGAAAATTGCATCACTGCACAACCCCAGCAACTACACGCAATGCCCCGTCTTGGTGTACTTACCCCTGTCTCCTGCTGACGTTGGCTACAGGATGATACCAAATACCTCGCTCAAGATGACCCCGTGCCTGGTAAGTTCTGGCGCCAGTCTGCCAGTGCCTCAGACCTGATCTAATCCGCTTTTGCACAGAATTCTTCGACGTCAAATTCTGTCCTTATCAGCCACTGGATGCGAGCTCTGTTTTTGCTGCAGTTAGCAAAAAGCATGTAAGTGTCTTCCTGCACGCCGCTTGCCGCCAGGCACCTTGTCGGACCAGGCATGGACTTATTTTTTTTATCATTAGATTGTTGTTTGCCGCCTGACGGCAACCACTGATGACTCCAATCCTTGCGAGATAATCAGCGTAATTCGTGATGATGATGTGCATCCATCCCCAATAACCGGACTGCCCCCACGACCCTCCGTGACTGACTGGACCTGCAGGCTGAGGCTAGAAACTATTACTGTACATGGACTCGAGATGCAGAGACGGGAAGGCCACTGCTATGCTATGGCGGCGAGGATGCCAAGATCAAAGTCTACGACGTCGTTGAAGGCAAGCTTGTTAACGTGAGTGGGGGCAAAAGCCACGCACCAGACCCCCCGTATAATATGTTTGCTCACACCTCACTCAGTGTCTAGTTGGTCATGGAGGAGTGAGCCTTGCCTCGATTCTTTTAAAGAAGAGTCGCACTGATGCAACGGCAGGATGTTTGTGATGTGGTTACCTCACCTATCGATCCCTTGATCATCGCCTCGTGTTCCGACGACACTACGGTTCGGATATGGAGTCTGGATCCCAAGCATGAGAAACAGCCTTGTCTGTGTATTCTCGGAGGTGAGGGTCACTACTGGAACTTGCTGACATTGGTCTGTCGAGAAACTCTCCTTGGTATTCACTGGTAAGTCTGTTGCTAACGGGAGCACAAGGCCTGGCATGACACTGGTCGTTATATCCTCTCGGCCGGTCACGATCAGATAATCAACCTGGTAGGAATTGTGTCTCAGCTATGTGATGCCGCCCACCAACTAACGCAACGGGCAGTGGACGGTGCCAGACCTCCCGACTGAGCCTACAAACCGTCCGGTTGAGGTTCATTACCCTCATTTCTCTACATCCGAGGTGCACAGCAGTCTCGTAGATTGGTAGGTGCTCTACAGCACGAGAAGTACAGTTACAATCGCAGCAGATAGCTTACGTCCTCCAGCGTTTCTTTCTTCGGCGATTACATCCTATCCCGAGCCTGTCACGATGATGTCATCGTCCTGTGGAAAATTGAGGGTTTCTCATCTCAGGATCCGCCCCCGCCGCAGTCCATGGCACCGACCACTATCAATCCAGCCAACCTCACCCGATCTGCCTTTAACCCAGGAGTCTCGGCGGAGTGCCCGGCCCCTTACACCCGCCTGATCGAGTTCCAGACCCCCGGCTGTGGCCCGCAGTTCTTCATGCGGTTCAAACTGCACTTTGTCCCTGACCAACATCCCATTTTGGCCTTCTGTAACGCCACCGGCAAAATCTTCTTCTGGGATTTTGAGCAGATCACCGGCTTCCACGAATATGTCAATGCCCTTAGGAGACCGAGCAGAGACGGCAAGGAGCCCCCGTCGAAACCCAATTGGCTCAACGCCATCACTCACAGGAGCACCGGCAGTGCCAAATCGGGGCTGACCGTCCGGGAGAGAAAGGCGGCGGACAAGGTTCATCGCACAGAACTCGAGCAGGTACCTGAGCTGAAAGCTCAATTCAATCAGGAAACACTGGACATGTGGAATGGCAAATACAGTGTGAGCAACCCCCAAGCACCTCTCAAGCCCCATAAGGTAGAGAACTGCGGCGCATCGACGTTTGTCGGTAGACAGGTAGCGTGGAGTCCGGGAGGTCAGTGGTGCGTCGTCGTGGGCAGCTCCAACTTCGCTCTGGTGCTACAGAGGTGGGCACCATCTAAGAGGGAGGCTTGAAAGGGGATAAGAACGGGAATCGAATTGTGCCTACGGGCAGCCGTAAAGTAAATGGGGCGGCACATGCTCTTTTCTTTGTCAGCTCTTTGTGCCTCACCTACTCAGAAAAACACCGACGACCACTTCTAGATAGCCGTGCGGTACTCTCGAATAGGAAGTGACGAGAAAACCGGGAGAATGGGGCCTTCGTCGTGCTCGGCGGAGGCGAGCATATTTTGAATAAACACATCGGGTCGTCCGCCATGTTCCACCATCTTCTGGAAGCTGCTTCGTGCGTTATTCCTCTCTGCATCACGCCGTATCCTTGCCTCGGTTATCTGGCCATCCGTGTCCTTGTATGCCGGGATGAGTAGGTCGCCGATGTATAACGACACCATTCCACGTAACCGCAGCAGCTCATGACTGTGCGAAAACGGCCGGTCCTCGAGCAAATCGTCCATGCGGCCCGCGATCTCGCGCAGCGCATCCAGCGAACGTAGGCGAATTTGATCCCTCGCCTGGCGCAGCCGTCGGTCCCGCGCATCGGGCTGCCAGGTGGACATCCTGAAGTCAGCGTCGTCTGTCATCATGTCGCCACCGCCGAACAACGACGCCTCTTGCAAAGAGTCGTCCTCCCAGTCCTCAGCCTCGCGCTCCAGCTGCTGCAGATACGATTCGTGCTGCCTATGTATCTGGAACACCTCGTAGCTCAGCAGTGCGGGCCAAAAGTCGACGGCGGAGACGGCGGCACGATACTTGAAGTTGTACGGGTAGCGTTGAATGAGGTCTTGGAAGTACTCGCGCACCCGGGGAACGTTCGACGCGGGGTACGTCTCATCCATTCCTGGTCTGTCGTTTGCGGCGCTGGCGAAGGTACCGCCGCCCTCGCGCATAAGGATCTCGGCACCAAGGGCCCAGTAGTTATTCCGCCTGATGTCGACCGGCTTCCCGTGGACGTGGGACCTCACAAGGATCCCAAAGGCGCGTTTGGCGCTGGATGTGTCACCCTTGTCCAGAAACCCGTAGATGGCGCGGACCAAGGGCCGGAACATCGACTTCTCGGAGGCGTACTTGGCCTTCGTCTCCCCGTCTCTTTTCCTCCTCCTCCGCCTCCCCTCATAATCGTCAGAGCTTTCTTCCGTCTCCTGGTCGTTAGTTTGTTCTACATCGCTGCTTACCAGGGCCTTGGCAGCGGCGACGGATCCCCGTCCACTCGGCGCATCCGGGTCCTGCCACGCGCGGTGCGGGAACCTGGGCTGCGTCCGCGAAGGAGGCTGGTCCGTCTCCGTGAGTCCGGCGAGGCGAAGCTGGCGCAAAACGGAGGGTGTATGACTGAGAGGATTTATGGAGTCATTAAGAAATTGAGAGCCGTAGCGGGCGTCTTGACTGTCACTCATGGACATGGCCGATGCCGACCTCTTGCGACTGGAAGCTGGTTGACTCATGGCCGCCTTCCACCGTTGACGACCGGAAATGACAATATGCCAATGCGAACGGAGGGAAGAGGCTGCTGATTGTGGGAATGCCTTTGAAATTATACAGTGGGATGTTGGATATCGTCGTTTCGTGTTCGGTCAGCGACTTGGAGTGAGTTTATCTTGTTGGTGTAAGTTGTGAGATGCCGGAGGCAAGAATTCGATGAAAGGCAAAAGTGGGGACACCCTCCTGCATCAGTATAGGTTGCCCAAGTTGCACGGTTACCTTGGAACGTGCTATGATCAACTAATTCTGTAGTAACCGATAAGTCTGCTCTTGGGTTAACAGCCTGAACCCAATCTATGTGTCTGTAGCATTTTTTTTTAAAGATAATTTTATCCTTAGCATATCCGGACTTGGCCCCCTGGAAGCTACTAGTATTCACTTAGTACGAAGAGTATACACTTTCGGATTACTACTCAATATAATCGGCCGCTTTCACAAACCGCAATGCTTCTCTTGTGGACTGGACATCTTCAATCGGTATTGCGCAGCCCAAGTCTTACTATTGCAATAGGAACATGGCCCGCCAAGTCTATGCTTCCCTGTGTACAAAGACAGAAGTAGTCAGAATGATCTTGATAACACTCCGCTTCAGCGCTCTTGATAATAATAAACCCCTATACGTTGAAGGGGTTATATGTGGACACATTCAGTAACTAATGCGAAGAAGTAACGGCTTGACGTATCTTGGTCATCACAGTCGCCTAATATACATTTTCTATAACGCGCAGACGATTCTCTGCAGCAGGCGGTCCAGCCTATGCGGAGTGGCGCTCAAAGTAGGTCCACTGGCCCTCGATGGGCTTCTCCTCCAGGTCCTCCCACCTGTTGAGCAACTGTCAGCACGCGCGGAGCCCAAGGGCTGGAAGAGGGGGGCGGAGGGGGAAAACGTACACCTTGGCCTGCTTCATCACGTCGACAAGCTTAAGTTCGCCCTCGGCGACTTCAATGACCTCCTCAATGAGGCCAGCTCCAATCTTGTTCTCCAGCTCGGAGATCCTACAGGATGCGCAAAACCAGTCAGTATACAGGCAATGCCATTGAGCCCGATCCCTCTCTACCGGTGCATAGGTAAACATACTGGTCGGCCGTCAACTGCGGCTCGGGCTCCCACTGAATCTTGGCGATGTCGTTCAGATCCTTGCGGCTGGCAAGAAGCTGGTGGTCCTTCCGCTCAGCCTCGGTACGGGGACCCTCGAGGGTACCACCCTCGTCCTTCTCGCCGTCCCATTCCTCAACGCGAATGTCCCCAGCGTCGTGCTGGGTGCCAACAACGAATGTTCGGTTGCCGAGCTTCACCGTCCGGGCGCCGCTGCCGTCAACGCGGCCGCTAACGAGGCGGAACTGTTCGGGCTTCTCCTTGACGATCTGCGCGGCCTTTTTCTCCCACTCAGCGAGACCCGGGGGTTCCGTCGCTTCGACGAGACTGAGGCGGTGCTTTGTGATGGCTTCGACAGACTGACGGTACAGAGAGGACTCGGGGAATGTCTTGAGCTTCTCGAGGGTGGTGCTGTACAGGTACAGCAAGGTCGACCGGGGACTGTTGTGCGTCCAGAGGCCCGTTAGGCCCGTCGGTGTGCCGGGTTCGAGATACCTAGCAGGCTTGACGCCCGCGAGCAGGCGAAATGTCCTTCGCATGATTGCGGTATCAATTGGCTCGAATTCGGGTGACGGCGTTTGGGGAGTAGATCTGTGGAGCGTGAGGTCGGGAACTGCACGCGGAATGGTAATGGTCGCTTTGCTTTCATTGACCAGTAGATTTCCTTACATAAGTCAGCACGTTCAGATCACGTGACTTTTGCCATGACGCAGAAGTCGCTGAACAGGTAGACATGCGATATTACCTGCCTACATACCGAGGTAGGTTCCCGCTGTCAAACGCTAGCCACAAAATTCCTGACGTCTAAAAATGTTTGGACGGATGTCAGTCGATCCTAGGATATGGCGGGAAAAGAAGAGGAAGAAGAAACTCCCATCTTGCAATACTGCCAAACAAACATGTGGACGCTTCCTCAGCAGGCCAGATTCGCTTCAACTCCTCCGATTGGTTCATAACAAGCGATATATGCGAACATGGATGTAGTGTTATTCAATGTTTGACATCACTGAATGTAGCAATCTTTTTTCCCCTTAAAAACTTGGGCTTTGCAAGAACACGAAAAGAGCTATATATTCATCGGTCATGGAAAAAAACATGAATGGACGTATCAGTTCGTCTTTGTCTCTAACTCCCAGTCGTTGAATGGGGATGCGAGTCCGAGCAGCCACAAAATGCCATACATAATGAAGGGTTGTTCCATTGCGAGAAATGGTGTATGGCAGAGGCGGTTCCACTAGATTCGCGAGAACTCAAGAAACCGACTTTTCTTCCAGCCTTTGGAGTACTTCAGTCGCCGCAGTTCGACACTTACTGACATGGTCTGGGCCTAGGCATGAGGAAGGTGCCAGCACAGCGGTGGTGATTTTGAAGAACGCATCGCTCGTTCCAGTTGCTTAAGAGGCATTTTCACGGCTCTTGCGGTAGCTGGCCTGCAGCGAAGGCGTCAGCACGGGCGGGGCTTGTTAAACGGCGTAGTTCGATGCGCGACTAACCTCTTGCTCAACCTGCAGACCATCCACAACGGGAGCAAGCTCGCTCAGAATCTCGTAAGCCCGCTTGTGGTACTCAATCTGAGCAGCAATGAGGTCGGCAAGGTTGCGAAGGGGCTCAGGGGTGTCAAGGACCTGTTGTGTGCATTAGCGACGATTACGATGCGGGTAAGAGGGTTGCGTCCACACACATTCTTCATGACACCGACAGCCTCTTCGGTCTGCGTAACGAACTCGTCCTCGGCTTTCTCAATTTCTTCCTGCGCCTCAGGGCTCAGCTCTTGAGGCTGGTGTTCATCCGGACGGGGAGAGCCGGGGCCGATCTTCCAGGTGGTACCGTGAGCGCGGGCCTTGGCGGCATCAAGGGTCAATCTCGACTTCTCGACATTTTGGCGGGCACGAGTAGCGAACTTGAGGTTGGTGTTCAAGGTGGTGTTCCAACCAGCAAGGAAGCGGCTCTGGATCTGGGCATCCTGGGCCATGCGGGCCTCGCCGACGCGCTCCATGGCCAGGGCGTATTTCTCAAGGGCTGTAGCTAAAGGGTCCTCCCCCGCACCGGTGTGTTGCTGGTGCAAGACCTGGCTGCTGGAGAGACTAGCTCTGGCAATGGCATGGTTGAAGGTCTTGGGCTGGGGCTTCGCGGTGGGAGGGGCCGTCAGTGCGGCCTGAGCCTCCGCAGGAGAGGCGGCGGAAGAGAGCAGGGAAACCTTCTCGCTGACGGTGCGGCCGAGATCCTGGAAGGTCTCCTTGAGATTGGGAGGATAATCATAGGCCTCGTTCGAGTATTGAGAGCTTCACGTGTTGGTATTAGTGATTGATTATTGGCTTGGTGGAAGTCGCGGGAGATCCTCACGTTACAGCCAACATCTTCTGGTGAACCTGCTTAAGAGCATCGACGCGCTTCTCGAGGTCGATATAGTCGGGCGGGAGCTGGGTCTGTTGAGGTCACAATTATTAGCTCCTCTCGTCAAGCAACCGATGTCTGATCGGCGCCTGCGGTCCCGTACCTTGTCCTCAGCCTGGCCGAGCTGCTCCTTGGTGTACTGAAAGGTACGGGAGGCGAAGGGGGTAATGGAAGCCCCGAAGGAACTGTGGTTGAGGGTATCTCGTCAGCCTGAAAGCACCTCAAGACAGCCCTTTCAAAGAATACATGGGCAAGACGTACGTGATGTTCTTGCCGAAATTCTTGAAGTCCATCTTTGCGACAGTCCTGGATGAAGTTTGTAATTGTATGAAAACGGGATAGAGAGATGCGACTCGACTCGCAACAGAAAAGATGCGTCTGTTGGAAGGATGGTGGTGGTTTGTAGACACGGAAGTGCTGCCTCGTGTCGTGCCTGCTATCAGCTCAAGCAAGGTAGACAAGTATCCAGTATCTTAAATTGGCTGCACAGCAGCATGCTGTCACAAGCTCTCTGGGGGACCAGTCAGATCAGCCAACCAGTGCAGGGGATACTGGAACAGCCTGTATAGCACGTGATATATGGAGACAGCTACCGGTAGTGAGGTACTCTCCCTTCATTCCTTTCATCACCTGTAATACACCAACGTCTCGAAAGTTATGCATGCATAATTCGGAGACAACCTCACAACGTTGATCATCCGTCCTCAGCACCCTTTCTCTTTCTCTCATCCAAGTGCAAGAACAAGAAACAGAATCGAGCCATCCCTACGTCGTATCAGTTGTATGACTGCCTAGTCACTTGATCCGCACTTTTCATATCGGCCGAGATTTTACTTTGTGAATGCGGAAATCATGCTCTTCCTAGTCATTTCATTTATAGTCTTGTTGTGCTCGAATCACAGAACGCTATAGTCCTCGCCTACATCCATTCTAATCCGGTGGCTTGAAGTCCGCCCACGATGGCTCAATGTTGCGGCAAACATCCTCATAGTCCAGCAATTTCGGATCGCTCAGCGGCAGATGAGGAGTTGTCCAGAACATGGTCCAGTTGGTGTCCTTCAGCTTCCACGTCCCCAGCGACCGTTCAAAATACCACTTGTTGACAGGGTTGTCTTGTCTACTACGCCAACAGACACCCTCCGGGAAACAGCCCCTCACCATGGCGTTGAAAACCACATCAGCAACACCGCCACTACCCTGTCGGCTTTTGAGAACCGCAAATTTGTCCAGATACGGAACGAGGCGTCCAGTCTTGTACGCCGTCTCCTCGTCCAACCCAAACGGCCTCTCCCACGTCAGTATCGCTCCGCCTTCGTACTCCCCGGCAATTATGACACCAGCTAGATTCTCGTTGACGCGCTCCAAATAATGCTGAACGTCCAGCTCACGGTTGAAAGAGTCATTGATCAGATGAGCCAGTCGTGGCAGGTCTATGCATGTGTCTGTGAGCCTCAGGCGTGGGCCTCCCGGACGAGGCGGCAACCAGGCACTGATCGTAGGATCAGGGTATACCGTAAGAGGCATGCCGCGTTTGAGCAAGGTTGCGACATGTGTCCCGCCGGTCGCTGCATCAGCCTTCTTCCCCGACCGCACCCGCTCAAGGGGTAGTGATGACGAGAAGACGGGTTTGTCTGTCAGAAGGTTATGGATCAGGGGATTCTGTCTGTTGCGCGTTGTAACCCTGGTGAATTCCTCAATGGGTTTGTTCGCAGCAGCAGAAGGGGTGCTGATGATGGCGGAGGACGTCGAGGGTAGCATAGCAAGGACCTTCCTCGACAAGTCAAGATTACGGGCATGAACCTGTCGTGTTTCTTCTGGTACTTTGCCTCGCCGAGCCTCTGACCCCGAAGGATGCGTGAGCCCATACATGATGCCCTCAAATTCTTGTTCGAGATTGATGTATCGATGGCAAGAGTCGTCGTGTGCATCAGATAGAGGCGTGCCCCCAGCCGGGTCAAGAATGATGACCTTCTCGACCGAAGCAACCCTGAGGCCTGGACTAAGACTGGAGTCGGGTGATGGGTGCTCAGAAGTGTTGAACTGAAGCCCGCAAAAATACTTTGTAAGCGCTATAATGGTTTCGTCGGCATCAACTACGTCAATGCTCTTCATGTCGTGCGCCATTGTGACGGGGGGCACTATCGCAATGGCATTGTCCCGCAAGGCTCGTAGCAAAAGATGAGGGTGCTGGACGTAAATACTAGACGGCATAAAGCCCTCCGTCTGAGCCGTCGCTGATTGAGCATCGGCGACGCACTGGTCGAGCAGAATGCAGCCCGGCTCGCCAAAGACGTCAACGGCTTGCTGAATACGCCAGGACTGTTCACGGACGAGTTTCCGGCTTGAGGTTGGCCCTCCATCCAGAACAATGAGGCTCACGAGGCCAAGCTTCCTAAGCTGGGTCAAAGTCTTGGCAATTGCGCTCAGCACTTCGTCGTCAATATCTTGCGGAAGACGAATTTTAACAATGGCCAAGTTGGTGTTTTCATCAAAGGGGACGGTGATCTCGGACTTGGAATCGTTACCCTGTATGAACTTTGGCGCCTGATTGACAACACGAATGGTTGAGTAAGTCTGGTCAGCTGGTCCTTGCAGCTCGTTCGTCTTGCGCTTCTTGGAGTCGCCTTCACCCAACTGAGGGGCGTATTTTTGAAGATACCCTTTGGCATCACGACGGGTAGCTGACGCTTCTAAGACAGATACAATAAAGTCCTTGGATCAGAGTTAGATATCGACAGCACAACTTGTCAGGATCAAGAGCAATTACCCTGTCTTCCGCTCGTTTTTTCTCCCGCGCTTCAGAGCTCGAAGAGTGGCGGACTGCAGAGAGTGCGTTTTTCAAGGCTTCATCTTGGCGTATGGGGCGGTGGTAAGGTCTGCAATTGGGCGGACTACATGAGTCGAGAGCAAAAGGGGCCTAGCATGAGGTGCGTAAGCTCATGTGCTGCAAGTTCAGAGAAGATGGTGACAGTAGAAAATGCGACACATACCCTCGCAACCAGGTTGCTCGCTTGTTTCAACACAGCAGCCCGCATGTTACCAACAGTAGCGGGAAAGTGCAGAGCATACCAAATGATAGGCTGTCTTTTAATAACGATATAATTCAATATGGTGTAAGTAAATCATAGACACTGATGGTATAGAGAGCTAGCCGAACCACGTTCAACTCGTCGTGGGTTTGGCGGTGAGAGCACAGAACCCGATTGTAAGCGTTGAAAAAGGTCGAAATACGGTGCCCAAGTTCCCGTTGGAGGCAGCGCTTTGAGAAGGGGGAAGGGTCAAAGCCCAGCCATTTCTTCAGACAACCATGTAGAGGACCGCCAGTCCGCCTTGGAATCTGCTTGAATCCGGGGATGACTCGGAATAGGTCAAGTCGTAAAAACTGAGCTTTGGTGAAAGTTGGAGACGGGTGACGAAGGGAAAGACGCGGGCTGGGATCCTGGCAAGAAGAGCACGAACTGTAACGCGCCCTGTTCCCCCCAACCCAAGGGAATTCCCACTTTGTGAGTCAACCCAACCTACCAAAGGGCGTACTGATAAGACGATAAGACGGGCAAGACCCCATCAAGAAACCACCGTCGGCGACCTTATGGTATCACCGTAGCACCGAGGCGAGTTGTCGGCCACGTATGAAATGGATCAAGACTTTAAAGCGATCACTGAATGCCTGATGAGTGCTCACCATCCGTACCTTGCAGCGTTGTTGTTCCACAGTGTTCGCATACAAGTGGGGAAATATCTCAATTGTGTGACGAATAGCAAACCAATCCCTAAAACAAGCCCGTCACTCGGGGTTGTTGGCGGGCTGTGTTCTAAACGACTTACACCGACTGGACTTGCACCTGCGTCCTTGACTTCTAGAGACCAACTACAACGACGGGAGCTACCGCGGCCCGCACGTCAGCTACCTTATCTAGGGTAATTACCTAGCATTTCGATATGGTTGGCGCAGAAGCTGGGATCACAAAAGAAAGGAGGGATGTGTTATTACGCAGTACAGAAGTTTTGACATTCTGCTAAAAACGTAGAGTCGTGCAGAAGTATCATTACGGTCGCCGTCCCTCTTCTTTGTATCGTATCCGATGGAATTGCGGCATCCGGTACGGATACACTACAATGCTGTTGAACGCAGGCCGTCAATGCGGATAACCCCGCTTCTCTCTCCAGTGTGTCGTCACCTTGTGAAACTTACCTGAGCATTTCGGGTGTCAATGCCGCTTACCAGGTTTGCTTACCTCGCTGAGCCGTCTGAAAGAACGCCTCAACTCGGATTTCCCACATCTGCCCAGTTCTCGTGTCTTCCCAACTTTCCAACCCTTAAGCCCTGAGTGATATGCAGCCGCTCCCGCACTCGTACTGGGCGTGATTTCTCTCTTCTCGATTGTCGCTCATTCCGCATTTCACACAATGGCTCCAAGGCTTCTCTGGATCGGCCTCGGTAACATTGGAAGGGTGACCCTCCCCCACTCCTAATTTGGCTCAATTCCCACACCACTCGAGGCACCTTAGCTTACCTCGCCCAGGGTATGTGCAAGAATCTCGTGGAGAAATCCAACCTGGATGAACCGCTCCTCATCTACAACCGCACCGCCAAACGAGCGATAGCACTGAGTCAGAGCTTGCCCGCTGGCAAGACAGAGGTTACCGAGTCGCTTGGTGACGCCATCACCAAAGCTGACATCATCTTCACGTGCGTAGCCAACGACCAGGCAGTGGACGAGATCTTCGCGGTCGCAGTGCAGCAAGACCTCAAAGGCAAGGTCTTTGTGGAATGCTCAACCATCGCCCCCGGGACCTCCGAGGCCGCCGCGAAGTCCGTTCTGGACAAGGGCGCTGACTTTGTTTGCGCCCCTGTTTTTGGTGCGCCCGCCATGGTGGCTGCTGGTAATGCAACCCTCGTTCTGGCGGGCCCCAAGGCCTCGATCGAGAAGATCCGGCCCTATGTCCGTGTCATGGCAACTCGCGAGATCAACATGGCTGACGAGCCGTACCACAAGGCCGCGACCCTGAAGGTGCTGGGGAACACTGTCATACTGGGCATGGTCGAGCAGTTGGCAGAGACTTATGTAGCGGCCGAGAAGAGCGGGCTTGGAACAGACTACGTTAAGCAATTCGTTGACGCTCTCTTCGGTGGAAGCCCATACCCTGCGTACTCGGTGCGGATGTTGGAGGGTGATTACTATAAGAGACAAGAGCCGCTATTCGCGGTGGATCTGGCGAGGAAAGATGCCGGCCATGCCATCGCCATCGCCAAGGCCGCTGGCACGCGCTTGCCCAACATTGAAACCGCCGACAAACACCTCCAGATTGTCAAGGACCATGCAGGGCCATCTGGTGACATAGCGGGTATTTATGGTGCCGTGAGGAAGGAAGCTGGCCTCAAGTTTGAAAATGACTCTTGAGGAGGTAGGCTGAACAACAGTATTGAAGTCTTTGGAGTCGTCAACCATCCAGACGTAACCAGAGCAAAGTAAAAAGTATCCCTTGTCTCTCTATTGGCATTCATTGGTCTCTGGTCTGATCTCTCCTTATACTCAATGGTTTAGTCTGTCTCTCCGTCATCGTTGTTCATCATCATACCAAAATAGGGTAGCAAAAGGACCGCTCAATCCATAAAAGGGGCGACTCAACAAAACAGGCAGGGAAAATTGTTGCCCGGCCTTGGTTACCAACTGCACATGTCTATGTATCAAAGATGAATGGAAGATGCACAGGCAAGGACAGTACGGATAAGGCGGAGGGACCGTATAGAGGTTGCAAATGACTAAGCAAGCATGAGCGGTCGATCTCCGCTTCAGCCACACCGTTTTTGGCACTGTCCATATTGGCGGCCGCATCCACTGTCGGCATCCAACCTCATAGCTCTCAGCCTTCCCAAACGACAGGACGACAAAGCGGCAAGACAACACCATCGCGAAGCTCGGTACACCTGCACATCTCAACGGAAAATCACCTTTTGGAACAACACATCGAAATGGCGCAAGGGTATCGTCGGTCGTGTGCTCACCTGGTCAACGGGGGGAAATGCTGACGCGAGACAATAGGTACAGCATCTTCATCGGCCTCGTCGTCGTCGTGGCGATGGGCGCTGGCGCATGGTTCTTGTCGCCCAAGGGCGAGACTCAAATGTATGTTTCGATCTGGCCGAGGAAAACACGGGAAAGCCTATTTGCGCTTCCTATCCCTGTCCAGCACTGCTAACGCCGGCAACAGCATCTGGAGATCGTCTCTCCTCTTGGCCCTCGCATGCTGCTATCTCATGTGGGCTATCACGTTCCTCGCCCAACTCCACCCCTTGATCGAGCCCAAACGCAGCAACCTCCGAGAAAGCGCCGTGCACCATTGATGAATACCTCAAAGCGATGACGGTCGCAGGGACGCGATGGGATATCGATGTACTATTACCAACTTTACACAACTACAACCTCATATGGACGGCGTTAAGGACTTGCGGGGATTCTGTCATAGAGGCTTGTTGCAGGGCGTCAAGGAATGTCGTCATGCATTCTCCAGGCCAGATGATGATGGTTGACGGCGCTGGCAAGACTCAGGGCTTGGGCCGATGCTCGATAGGATGCGTCCTCGAGTGATTGAAGCAAGTATGTAGCCAACATCAATTTACGCAATGCTGAATTCTACACTTATGCAAACTTCCGCTTGATTTCTCCTGTCCCATGTTTTCTCCTACCCGGCAGCCAAGTCACTCGCCCATTCCCTGGCATACATCAACAGAGCCCAGAGGGCCTTACCGTCCGCAGCAATGCTGGTCTCGCCAATGGAATCGACGCCATCTAGTCCAGCAGCCCACAGAACGCTGCGTCCTACCGCCCAGCGCGCCAGAGCTCCTGTTGTGGCCAGTAATGTGGCGACGCCATAGCCACAATCCAGCAAAATACGGAGTGCCTCGACGTTGTTCGCTACCACGGCCCAGCCAAGCGATCGCGCCGCGGCTGGAACATCATACTGCCATATAACCATAAGGATCGGGAAGAGCTTGGTAGAGGATGAGACGAGTAGCGCGGTCGAGACAGAGTTGGGGCGCGAGTATCGAGGCAGGACATTGAGCATGCCTAGTGGAGAGAAGGCAGAAGAGGTCATGAACCGGATGCTCATATGGAAGGCAAATGTCGACAGAGCACAGAGAATTACTGGCAGGATGTTAGCATACACTTCAGTGACGACCATTCAGTTTCCTCGGATAGTACCGTACAGAAGAAGAGGTATTGCGACACAATGGACTGTTGAGTCAGGCTGCCCAAACTGGCGCCTTCGTCTTTAGCGGATGCAGGAACCGTCTGTTTCTCGATGCGCGCCCATGTCAAGTACACGTCGAACAACAGCAGTAAAACTCCGAGTCGCACGATGGAAGACTGTACGGAGACCGTGTCAGCAACTGTTTGACGTCAAGTAACCAGCAACCCATTCGTGACTTGCATCAAATCGGTCATCGTCCTTCATTAAGGTATTGTGAAGTAGGTGACGGTAGACCTGGGGTTTGATGAGAACTAGGTCAATAAAAAGCACGACGAAATCATGCTCGACATATTTATCGCAAAAGTGACCGCAGTTTCTGCAAACAGTCAAGCGAATATTGTGACCGCTAGACTTGTCATCGGCATTCGAGTACTTGGTCCATAGCGTCTTGACCGGGTGTCGACACTCGATGCAGATGGGCATCGCGTGCTGGAGACGGCCGAAGGACTAGAGCAACGTTGAGTGGCCCCGCATACGAGAATGTGGTGTCGCTGGTTGGCACTGGATGTAATTCGATTATGTGCTCCTGAAGACCAAGGCGATTACGGCGCGTGGCATTGTCGTGATGTCCGCAAGGAACTCCAAGTGGGGCCGCTGCAATCTCGGCGGAGAGAAGTATGCACCCCCCTCGCACGGGCAAGTTGGCTGCAGATCGTACATACATGCCCGACAGTGGCATATGGTGCTGTTGGAAATCAAACCCCCCCTTTCCTTCCCCCCCCCACCTTGCTGGCCTGGGCGGGGATGGTTCTCTAGTGTGTTTGGAAGACACTGGAGCGACACTGGAGTGAGAGGACCGCAAACTCGGGTTCTAAAACAGCCCAGGCCTCAAGCGAATTGGGGGATTGCAGGAAAGCCACCTGTTCTGTCCCCACTACTAGAACCGCTAATTATTATTCAATGGGACAGGGGAAGAGGGGGAGATGGGCAAGTATGCAGGGCTGCTCGCAGTGCTGGTTACGTCGTCTCATCCAAGGGTCCCTCCCATCCTCTGACCTTTCGCCCTTCCAGCACACCCCAAGTCCCAAGTCCAAGCCCGTCCGCCGCATCAGTGGAGGACAGCTTAGCCCAGTTCAGTCCAGTCCCGTTCAATCCACGTCCACTCTCCCGCTCCCACTACCGCTTTCGCTACTGTTTGCTCTCTGGTTACCCCCGACGTACGCTAAGTAAAGAAGAGATACTAAGAACCACGAGCAGTCTCCCCATCACTCGTTGTCATTCGGCTTCAGCCAATCCTCCTCCTCTCTTGCCTGATCCATTCGTTTTTCTCCCTCGACGATCGACTGCAACCTCCCGCCCCCCTTACGTGCCCTCCTCTCGAGCAGTGTCGAGGGCCAGTCAGCATATTTCGCGACGTATCCTGTGAAACTGATCCACCCCGTCGTCTTCTCTTATCCGAAGTCGCCCACGACGCCGCCTCTCCGAATCGCCTATCTCGTCTTGCGATCGAAAGCTGCCCATGACTGTAGCCGCGCGCTGATGCCCTCCTTTTCAACTCCCTGCCACCTAATCGACGAGGTGCGCGGCCTTGCTCCATTATGGCAAACTCCCTGAACCCGGTCGGGTCGGCATCCCATATGTCTTCGTCGGCCCTCATGCCAGCACGCCATGATGCCGAAGCCCGCCCACGCAACCGGCGCCTCATCAGTACCCTCGACGACTCTTCCTCAACCGGTGGGCCTATAGAGAGGCTCTCCGCCTCCTTTTCTGCCCTGCGTGCGCCGTCTAGTCGAGAGCCAAGCCCAATGCCCTCCGGCCACCTGTCTAGGGATACAACTGCCAAGCCCGCGGCACGAGATGCGTCTACCAGTAACCGCCGAAACAACACTGTACCAAACACTGCAAGTTTCCTGGATACGACATGGTCTCAGGGCTGGGCCTCAATCCAAGGGTTGGCTTCTTCCATCATATCTGGTGGAAGTGTTCACGATGCGGGTTACGAGTCAGATCACAGGAACGGGAGACGGACGGGCTTCAACCCCCTTAAGCGAGACTATTCCACGCCGCCACGGAAGGCTCCAAAGGACTGGGGCCCTGCACCACCATCCAACTCTAGGCCTGACCATCGAGACATAGCGACAGGTTCCCTCGCAGAGAGAGATGCTGCCCTCAAAGCAGCGCGAACAGCGAGCGTCTTGGAGAGCCACGAGGGCGTCAACGGAGGTCTTGACGTGGCGGGCAAGTATAAGAGGAGGAATTCGGACGAGTCTGTTAGAGACACGCTGCAAGAGGAGGAAGTTCAAGACCAACTGGTGTACATTCACCACGTGCAACCAACCGACACCTATGCCGGTATAGTGCTCAAATATAGGTGTCGCGAGGACGCATTCAGAAAGGCCAATGGTATGTGGTCCAGAGATATCCAGGTGCGAAAATGGCTAGCTATACCGGTCGACGCGTGCGAGATCAAGGGCCGCCCATGTGAGCCGCCTTCACACGAGGGACAAGCCGTCGACTTCCTGTCCCCAACACCGGAACCGAAAAGCGCCAACGGCCGAGATGGGCGTACTTCCGCTCAACCACAACAAGTCGATTTCTTCAGCTTGCCAACTACGAATGGCTCATCATCCGAGCTATCCAGAAACGAAGAAGAGGAGTTGCCATGGACTCACGTACGCTGGGTTGCTTTGGACTCGGTTCCAAAACCAGTTGAGATCGCCCGTGTGTCGAAGAAAACAATAGGGTATTTTCCGCCACGACGGAAGAAGAGCCTCCGAAGTACTTCGACCATGTCGACACCAAGGCACTCTCTTGATACTGCAGCGATAACAGCTGGGCTCATGGAAAGTCCAGAACAAGTGGGCAGGCCGACCTCCCGACGTCAGAGCAATCTCAGCAACAGGCCCAACCTATCCAGCACTCCGGCTTTGTCCACCCCTGCGTCTTCAAGGAGCAGGATGAACAGCGATGCTGGGGACACGCGGCCAGCATGGATGAGGAGACCTGGGGGCGTTGGTTCCATGGGTCGAAGCGTCCGGGCGCCTGGCCCGGAAAAGGATTACTTGAACACGTGGGCGAAGAAGCATCTCCCTGGACTTGCCATCGACGAGTCGCTACCGTCCATTTCTGTCATGGGTTCTGAGACGGCCAACTTTGGGTTCAGGCCAGGATCTAGCAGTGGGATTGTCGAAAGCCCCTTCGACGAGGGTCAAGATCTCTCGGCAACTTCCAGGCAAGGCTCCGGTCTTGATCGTGCCGCGGCGACGGTAGAAACATGGCTGCGCGGCGCGTTCGCCAAATCTCCTGGAACGCCGACAACGGGGACCCGGAGTCGTCAACCGGACGTCCTCGACCTCATCGAATTAACCGATACCAACAGTGACGATGGGAGGCTGTCCGTGTCAGTCGGCAGCGGTGTGACTAGCTCAGGGTTATTCGAGACCGCCCCAATGACAGTCGGCTCTACGAGCAGGAGCGACGGAGACGGGTCTGTCAGAGGCCGAAGCGTGAGTAACAACGCATCGGCCGTCAAGTCCAAGAAGTCTGATTAGACCCAAAATCGCCGACGCCATTATTTGGCAAAGCTACTATATTGGGTGTACGGCTCCGGCCCCTCGAGGCCTCAGCAAGGACACACACATATCATGATCTGAACCAAAGATAGAGACGCCCGCGAGGTGCACGGAGCGACAAGGGTAGGCAGCAGTCGAATTGGTGCTGCATAGTTGAGCATTGGAAAAGGCGTTAGCGGGCATGGAAGGGGGATTTTACGGCAAGGGTAGGTGGCTTGTCAGTCTGCCACGGCTTCCATTCAGAATGGTCGCCCAACCTGCCCTTGACCTACCAGCACCTCCCATTTTCATTCAACAGTTATTTCTTTCGAAACATTAGACCTGGGAACATCATCAGCTTGCTCTTCATTACAAAGCCTTTTAGGCCCGGGTTGAGTCTAGGGAATGGAGCTATGATTGTTAGTCGTGGGCTGCCTAGACCGAGGAGGCAAAGGGATCGGGGAGAGGTAACCCCCTTGGAAGGTGGTTTGTTTCTTAAATTGGGACCAACCCCGAATATCATGTCGCCTTTTCATCCATGTGTTTAGCAGTGATGTGTGACGCCAGCTGTATTTAGCTACTCGTCGGTGATAGCGACGTACTCTTGAACCAAGTGGGCAAGGGCAACGTCGTGTTGACATGGGCCATGATTTTAGTCTTAAGCCTGCAGCCTCCTGCGAGGGTTGACTGCTTGCTGTGCATGCAAGGGCTTACGCATTATTCATATGGCCCTGCCTGAACAATACACACCCGGCTCCTCATGACGCCAACTGGTGCAAGTGCGCCTCAGAGAAACACATGTGAAATTAAGAAGTTTCTCGCCAAATCTCGAACATTGTTCATTGGTACGCCCTCTACCACATCTGCAACTACAGGATAGGCCTTGAGCGAAGCCTGTGCTACACATGCCAAGCTATAAAAGCGAGAACGGATACCAAGCGCACCTGACCTATCTTCACTGGGGTCCAAGTCCTAGGTCGATATTCATGTTTGCCAAATCGCCATTATTGATGCCGAAAAATTGGAACCTGTAGTAAGTCGTCAGCTCAGTGAGTCAGTCGGTCTCCGGGCCGTGTATTCACTTACCAGTCCTCGACGTTCAAGGTGTTTGGAACAGGCTGCCCCTGGGCAGATCCTGTACTCCAACTATCGCTCGGACTCTGGCCGTCAGGCATCAGCCCATCAAAGTTGGCAGTCCATAAATTGCTGTTGAGACTGCTGTGGGAGTTCTGTCCTTGTGCTTGCGCCTGTGACTGCGGCTGCTGTTGTTGTGGTTGCTGCTGATGCTGTTGGAAGCCCTGCATGCCTGATTGGAGGACATTGTGGCCTTGAGGAGGGCTTCCACTTAAGCCCGTCTTGTTGGCCCCCCTTTGATGGAACGGGGTGTTTTGGGCTGCCAGGCCGCTCTGCAAGCTGGGGTTTTGGAGTTGCGCCATGAGACCTGCGTCGAGGCCTTGTTGGTTTGCGGACGGAGGCGACATAAGGGGGAAGGCTGGCATGCTGGCACTCTCTGGGAACAGCTGGTCGGGCTGAAAATTCTCCCATAAAGACTGGGATATGTTCGGCGAGTTGCGAGTTACCAGGTACAAGTCTGGTGGCGTAGCTGGAACGGAGAAGGAAGGGTTGAACGGTGTTGCAGGTCTGGTCTGTGGCCGTGATGATGTCCCGCCCATGAATGTGTCATGTTGCCTGGGGTTGGGAGAGGTGACCGGCGGCGGCATGTTTTGGGGGTTACCGTCGCCCTTCATATGGCTCGGTGTCTGGGGACGTGAACGTTCATACGACTCCTGGGGAGTCGGTGTGTTAACGCTGAAGTCAATGGCCATATCATCGTACTTCCGCTTGGCCACGTCATGGGGACGCGAATGCTGCTCTAGCTGCGCCATGGCCTGTTGCGCCTTCCTGTGTCGCTTGCCTGCAGCTTTTTGCAGACGCTCCTCGAGGACTTTGTTTCCTATGATGGACTCGAACAAGGTGTACACCATCTTCCCCACCAGCCACACGCGCGAGACTTCCTTGAGGGCTTGCATACATGTTCTCAATCTGTCTTGCGTCACCTGTTGAATCGAAGGCACAGGCGACCGCATTTGATATACATGCATGATGAGAGCAGAGAACAAGCTGTACACCACAAATGCCGGGCAAAAACGCAGTTCGCCATGAGCCGCCAGGTTCTCGATAATTGAGGTGATCATGGCTGCTGCCTGGAACGCAATGTTCCGTGATGGGTATGGAGAATCGTCAGGAAACCGACTTCCGCCGTTGGGCGGCATGTGTGCCCTGTGTAAGAGGCACAAGGTCGTGTAGTAGTTGGAATGAAGCAGGGCAGACCAAAAGTGATGCCGGGCAACCTCCCAGTACACAATCTTGGGGCAATTCTGAAGCCAATCTGCGAGGGCCATATCGCTGTGCGTCAGATCGATTGCGTTGCGCTGCCGACCCTTCGAGGCCACCGAGTACTGTTGCGAGAGCACCAGGCCCATAATCTCACAGAGTTTGACATATTGCATAAAAAACTGAACGTGTATCGGATCTGGAGGGTACTCGCTGTTGCGGTCGCCGTCGTCCTCAATGAAGTCATCTTCGGTGAGCATTTCGACATCCGAGTCGTCCAGGTTGATGTGTACAGGCCGACCAAGGGCGACAGCGACGGACCTATCTCGCGTGAAAAGGGTCCACCAGATTCTCTTCCAAAGCCTCTTGTCGGAGCGACTGAGCTGCGATTGTTCGACGCTTCTATGCATACCAGAGCCCTGAGCAACGATGGTAGCGACTCGGCTCCAGTAAAACACGTTCTTGGTGACATCTTCGGGTCCTTCCCAATACCAGCCCATCAGCAACAGCGATTGCACGATGGTCACTCGGTCGTCCTCATAGTTGGCATCGTACAGTGCCTTTGCTCTCTTGTAGAAGGTCAGGGCCGCAGGGGTTGTCGAGCCATTGGCGTCCATCAACTGCGGGTTCGTGCAGACTCGGGAGCCGGCCAGCAGCACAGCCTGCAACAGCAAAAGAGATGGCGGGTTTTTGGGATCGCGATATTGTCGCATAAAACGGGTGCGGTTGATGACGGGAACAATGGGATGGATCCATTTGAAATACGAATCGATGAGCTCGTCACATAGTGACCGCGGCGGTAGCAGAAAAGCGCCACGCTGGTGGAGAATGTCAATTTCGACGTTATCCAGCTCGGTCAGGCGGGCTCTGGATCCCCTGACGTTTTCGGGCAAAGGGTAGTGGACGACGTCTGACGAGCCTTGGCGATCATGGACAAGCAAGGTTAGGTTAGACGACTCCCCGAGGTATGCGACTCTGCCAGCGTCCGTAATAGGGGCCCTTGTAAACTTGGGTTTCATCACGAGGTTGAGGTAGGTTCCACTGTCAACCTCCTCTTTTCGGGCTTGCGACTCGGTGTAGTTGGACGACGGCGTACCGTCTGTGGTGTGATAGACAGCAGGTGTTCGCGGGGGGAACGTCCCGGGGCCAGGGGCAGAAACACTAGGCGCTCTTGGTGAACGGTCGTCGGCAGTATCTCCTTTCTCACTGGAGCGCACCTCAGTTAGCCCAAGGTTGAGGGTATGCGAAAACGGCGAAGTAGAGGCAGACCTGTCCGAGTCCTTGTTCGTTCCGGCATTTGTTGTCTTTTTGCGCTTGGGGGTAGGGATGCGGCATTCGATCTGGAAGGCGACGCAGTTCGTGCAAGGCACGCCCAGGCTCGCGGCATCGCATCGTACCTACATAAAGTTAGTATAGAGCAGTTTGGTGAGGAAAGTCGGCTGGAGAAGGGAGGAGGGTTTTGTGAGATGGTTGGGCGCGAAGGAGGCCGTGTCGCGTGCTATGTGGCGCAGAGGGGGAGGGGGCGGGCGAGTCGAAGGATTGACAATTGCGTATCCGTACCTTGCGCGCGTGACATGTCTGTATATTGAAGGCCAATAGTTAGCTTCAAATCTGATCGCGACGGATCTGATTGATGTGGTGGGCGATGATATCTCGCAGTGCAACACAGAGCAACGCGGCTCGGCGGTACACGAAGTAAGGATACCTCGGCACAAAGTGGGCAGAGGGGTCTCGGAATGGCGGGCGCGGCCAAGATAAAGGTGGGAAACTACGTACCTCGCAAGCTCTTGAAGCTCGTTGCCTTTTAATTACAAAAAAAAAATCCATGTCAGCGCACACATGGCATTTTAAATTCGACAATAACGGCGGTCATCGCAAAGAATCACCGAGGCGGAGGTTGGTGGTGAAGGACGCACCTGCGAAAACTCAAGTGGTTTGCGGCGGCGGCGGCGGCAGCAGCAGCAGCAGCAGAGCTGCCTTGAGCGTTGGGGCTCGTGTTGGAATCTCCGCCAGCAGACTGCGATGTCGATTCGGGGTTTTGCGGCGGTTGCGGCTGTTGGGCCGACAGGTCGGTAGATGACATGTCGACATCTATGGGCCACCGTAAAGCGGGAGCTGCGATGGAATCGTGAGAGTGGTGAAGAGAGTCGTTGACGAATTTCTCTGGTCCAGTCGTAGGAATAGGAGGAGGGCCACCAGGAGAGAACAGGCGCGGCAGTAGCAGCGACAGCGGCAAAGGAGCTGATTGCTGCAGAGGCGGCGGCCCAGGCGCAATGTCTGGTTGTGTCTCTGGCTGTGTCCCCAGTGACGGCGCTGGCGCAGGGTACGGAGACTGGCAGCGGCGGCGGCAGCGGCAGCGGCGGTGGTGGTGGACTCCTCCAGCTGGGTAGGGGGAGAGTGGTGTTGCAGGAGCTTCTGGGGGGGTTATGGTCCTCGGGTTGCTGATGCGTACGAGGATTGTTCAGGTAGCGTGGATGCGGGTGGCGGGTGCCGATTCTAGTTTCTAGTGAAGAGTGCGTGTGCTGGTGCGTGTGTGCGTGTGCGTGTGCGGGTGCGGGTGCGGGTGCGGATGCGGGTGGAGGGGGGGGGGGGGGGGGGGGGGGGGGAGTCAGCAGAGAATGGTGTGAGAGTGGTGCTCCCCCTGTTTGCCCTGAAGCTGAGAGGATGGGCCGGGAGCGAAAACTGGAACTGGTGGAACCGGTGCTGGTGCTGCTGGGACTGGACGTGGACGAAATACCTAGAAATGGAATTCGGCAAGTGCATCCGTACGTCTGCAAGGCCACAACCAGCAGAACCGCCGCGTGGTTGATCAACTTTGGCACTGGGGAACGTCAACACACCACCACTCCGGGTTGTTTTCTGTCCCTACTGCGCCGGTGGTTTGTACATTCGCCTCGCTCGTCGTCGTTGTCGTGATCGGAACCGGCTGCTGTTGTTGCTGGAGGGGAGAGAGGAGCACTGGCTCCAAAGTGGTCTCGTCTTGCCGCAGCAGACAGCCGGGGGCCGCGTTGTAATTGTTCTCTATCAGGACCAGGGTTCTCGCACGCGTCGATGTCGGGCCTTAGCCTCATGACACCCGGGTCAAGGTCCACGCTGACTTGGGCACCGAGGTTTAGGCTGAAGTCGAAGCTCAGGTCGAGGTCGTTGTCGGTGTGTTGGAGAAGAATGGCGTTGTTGCCGTTGTTGCCAGGACGTTGTTGTTATTCAGGGCCCAGCTTGGAGTCGAGATAACGGCCACCATCTAGATCATGTCCAGTCTCGAGACATTTTATTTCAAATCAAGGAAGGCCCGGAAACTCGGTTTCGCTCTTTGTTGCAATAATACGGCGCGCCAGCCATCCAAGTTGTGCTTCCGCGTACAGATGTACTCCTACTATTATTATATTGATTTTCACCGTCTTTTTGATGCTGCCTATCATCGGACCACGAAAGGCTATAGCAATGTTCATCCGTTGCTCTCGTCCGCTCTGTTTTATGCAATAACGTCTAGCACGTCGGGGAGCAAGAAAACACCCCAAGGCATAGTAGGATTGGCTGAAAGGAAGGCTCGGGATATCATGCAGGAGCAAAGCCCATGGGCCTGGTACCTTGAAGTAGCCCGTAAAAACGACATGCCCGTGACGATTTAAAAAGATTTCTTCTCTCTCTCTCTCTCCCTTTTTTTTTTTTTGTGAGCCAATATGGCTGTCATGTAATCTTGATCATGGCTCTTACTCCCCCTTCTGAAGAGGTCCGGCGGACTGGATGAGCAGCAGAGTTGTGATCTGAAAGTTTGAGACTTTTTCTCAAAGGCGCTGCTGGCAGGATCGCATCCCCCTCCCCCACTGACCTTTTCCTTCAGGGCTTATGGCAAGGCATGTCGGTTCAAGACAGCAACGGAGACTGGCAACGGCTTGGCTGCGAGAGGGCGTTTGTTGGGTGAAGGCCGTACTGGTGGGCCGCGCATGTGTCGCTCACCGAGAGCCCTAATTCACGCCAGTAGCCGCCGAGCTGTGTATCCATCCATGTCGGGGGATGATGAAGACTGAAGCCAACCCTTCCATCCCCTGCATCAACGTATTATTGCCCTCCGCCCACTTGATCAGGGTTGGGCCGCAGCCCACCAAATCCGGGGTAACACGTATTATGTAGTGTATATACCTACAGGTTGGAGATGAGTGAATGGGTTGGTCAAGGTGCAGGGGTAAGGCATACATACTATGTACATAGTATTCTACCTACGCAAGTGTGTACTACGTACATAGTAGGTAGACAGGGGGTTGCAGTGTGGTGCGGTACGGTCCAGTTCATCCCCACGCGTGCGTTCCCGTTTTAGGCAACGCTGCGCTGTGCGTGGACATGGATAAGTGAATTCTCGCTCCTCCTCAAGAATCCCAGAAGGCTGCCGAGAAAAGCATATCATCACGTCTCGTCCTGGATCGGCCACGGAAGACGTCCAGACCCGAGCCCGGCACACACCATCCACTTGTTGGTGGGTGCCGAGAATGATAAGATGGCCGTGCAATGGTGTCACGCACACACACATACTTATACCCTTTGCTGAGCTACCCAGAGAAAGCCACGGGCTATAACCGTTTGGAGGAGGGGGGAGCTGGGCCCTTTAACTACGGATACTCATCGACATTTTCGCGTGCGTGGAATCCGTGGGACGACGAGATTGACGTGGTTCATTACAACTAGGATGCCATCTAGAATCGAGATGACTAAGAATGACAAATGCCTCTGCGGATACTGGGGCATCAGAAGCCTCGAGGTCACGAGGTTTGGGGAGAACGGAATGCCGGTCATCTCCTGGAAACGCCATCATCGGCCGCGGTCCATACCGTTTCTGCGATCTTGGTTTAATGAAAGATGAGGTGTACGGGGATATATACTCTGGCGGCTGGAGAAACCAGGCGTCAAGGGGTGAGGCATGATCGGGCACGCCTTACATCGGTCCTATTGCACTTTGGTATATGAACCCACCTTATTTACATTCATTACCAAGCCGAGTCTCTATTAACCTCCCGGAACAAATGTTCCGGGCACAGCCTTCTAGATGCCATACATCTAGCTACTTGCTGGACTGAAGTGAAATGGCCAACTTCATTCAGTGTTGGTAAGGGTCGGCTTCCAGGTGAGCCTGACCGGCAACACTCTGTAACACCTCTGTTGGCAAATATCCGACTGTGCGCAACACCTGACAGCTCTCGTCACCCTCTTCTTGCACTCCCACAAACGGAGACGGTGAGAAGACTCGGTGGGCGCTCACCGCGCTTCCGGCTTGCTTTCATGCACTGGCACACCGATCTCAGTCAGCGCGGCAGATTCCCAAAGACTTTCCAAGAGACTTGACGTCATTTGTGGCGTCTTCCTCCTCCAAGACGATGCCAAAGCCCCAATACTCTTGAGAGCAGCAACCGGAGTTAAGACGTGGTCAACGGCCTGGACTGTGTCTCGACAGTTTTGAGGACCACCCTAGAAAGGCAGTAGTAAGTAAAGGAGACTGACGTAGAAGCCACTTGGGTCGACACAAGAGCCAAACGCAGAACTCGACCATAGAGAGTAAGTGTCTTGCCAACTCACTTGTCCCACAATGCCAGCCTTGGGGAAATCAACTAGGCGGCAAAAATGTAAAACAAGATAAAACAAAATAGAGAAAATGAGATAAAATAATGTCTGCAGGCTTGCAGGCTTGTTTGGGCCTCATACTAAACAGTATGATGCCATCATATATGCGCATTGTTTCGTTGAGCCAATACCACATTCCGTTATGCTTTGGTAGCGGTTAAAGGAGTCTTGCCATTGGCAGTTGTGCGCCCTGTGGTACGAGATGCCACCGCCCCGTTCTGCTCGCCTTCACCTTGGGGTCCCTCGACCTCAATGCCGCCAATAAACAGCGCACTGACCCCCTCGAGAGCTGCCACAAACACACACAGCAGACTCGCAATGACAAAGTGACTGATGGTGGAGCCAATCTCTAACCACGAGCCCTCGTCCTTCACTACCCAGAAGAAGTAGAGAGTAAGAACATCGCTAATGGCCATAACCAACATAAAAAGAGACGACGGCGCCACACCCAGTCTGACATTAAGTATTCCGAAGTTGGCCGAGATGAGAGCGAAGGGGATCATCAGCTTCAGTATGAGTAGTGCTCCCTGGGAAAAGGGGTCGAAGATAGGGATTAGCCGGTACACACTGTCCAAGCTGAAGGACGAGACCGAAGCCACATTGCCTGTGCTGAAGAAGGCAGACTGCAGCAAGACAAAAAAGAACAATGAAACTCGCGCGTCGGCGAGAGTTAAGGCTCTGAAAGCCGGCGGAGAGAGTCTCGGCTCCTCGTTGGCAGTGCCGTTAGATTGGGAGCGTCGTTCGTCTGCGAACCTCTTGCTGAATGCGAATACGCGATGCTCAAGGCCCACCCAAGAGACCAGCAGAATGCTGAAAGCCACATAAAACAATCCTTCATATGAAATAGTCAGAATGACAAAGGTCGGCGCGCAGGTCAAGAACATAGTCATTAGACGGTGCATGTAATGATTGTTGGGCTGCAAGCGATGGGCCAGAGGCATAAGTAGCGACACAACTACCAATTGATTAGCGATGCCCAACCTCGAGATTTGGTTTACGCTTACCGAGGATAATCCAGCCAACCACCTGGTTGCCACGGGGCAATCCTAGTTTTGCCTGGAGAGACAAGGCGCTAGACCGGGTGACTATGATTGCGAGTAGGATTAGGCCGACCTATTTTCGATTGTGTTAGTCGTGGAGAAGATTTTCAAAGAGACATGTATTCACCTGGACGCCGGTCAGAGCCCTGGCAGCCGGCAGGGCTGGCCGACTAAGGAGTTTGTCTTCCCAGACAAGATAAGCCATACCAATAGCCGCCATAGCGATCCCACCTGCCACACTGTGATGGGTAAGCATGTGGACACTCGGGGGGGTGGGTGACAGAACTGCTCAGACATACATAAGAGGAACGTCCTCTGATTTCATGGCCGGAAGCAATGTAAAAACACTCATCACGAGGCATGCGAAAAACCAAACCACAGCCAACAGAACGTTCGAATGGATGAATCTCAAGCCGTACGTCATGGGCCAGAAGGCCGCAAGGACATAAAGAACAGTCAGGACCTCGCGGTGGATATATCCAAGAGCCTCGACTGTGTTAGCGAAACAAAGCGGCCAAAAGCAGGGGCATTTCTTATATCTTACGAGGGAAACAATGATGCCGACGTAGACCACAACATTCAACGAGAACGAAACCACGCTGCCCCCGGTCTTGATGTGCCCGAAAAGCACCTGACGGCCTTTGACAAGTGAATGACGCCGAGCCCAGACTTCCTCCCAGAAGACGACAGGGAAGAAACCATACGCGTAGTAGGTGATGGGGGACTTGGAGATGACGAAAGATGCGTACAGCGCCGCAAGTACTGACGTGAACACAGTCGTGCCCACTCTCGTACGGCAAGGGGGGTGGCTGCCTCGCAAGACATGCAAGCCGATAACAACAGTGAGCGCAAATGCCATCCAGCCAAGGTAGCCGATGGTGATCAGCGTGCGGAGAAAGAGCCAGTCATAAGTTTGGAGGTATCTCAGACCTTCCAGCGCAACCTTGACAAGAGCAGCCGATTCTTCAATAGCCTCTTCATAGTTGCCAGCGTCGACAAGGCCTTGAATTTCACTGACCCGGCGGTCAGGGGTAAGATTCGCGTTGCTCAGCGGCCCGAACGGTCGATAGCGCAATTCCGTCGCCTTCTTCTGTTCTTCTTTAACCCTATACATCTCAAGGATCTCGCGAGCGTTCACAAGAGCTGCTTGCGCTTTCTCTTCGATACTTGACGAAACATACGATAAGGGTAGTTCGCCGACAGAGTTAGCAGGGAACTCCACGCCAATCAAGTAAGCCATCAGGGCCGCAATATCAGCTTGTGCCACATCATGTCGTTTAACATTATCAAGGTGCCAATCAGAGGAGTACTCATCGTGCCCAGGAGCAACAGAGTTAGCGGTGAGCACCGGTGGTGCAATGCCTGAACCCCAAGTGATCAGGGGCGTACGAGTGTTATTTGGATGGCCATCTCCATGGCTTCCCCAGTCACTCATGCCGTGGTCTGCCGTGAAGACGAAAGCGGTTCGGTCATCAGCATAGAACTTTTCAATAAGTGCAGTGATTTCCTGGACGCCTTGATCCACAACCTTGATGTTGTTGAGATATTCTTTTGAGTAAGGTCGGTACGAGTGGCCATTGGTATCCAACCCAAGAAGATGGAGGAAGAAGACCACCTTGTCTTGACGAAGGGCAGCGTCCAGGGTCTCGTTCTTAGCCGCCTCGGCAAAAAGTTCTTTGACGTGGTCAAAAACCCAATAGTCAAGCTGCAGAGCGTCTTGGCTAAAATCCTCAAACTCGTGACCATAGGTGTAGGAATCCACACGACCAGGAACAGCGCCTTCCTCGAACATGGGAAGGATATCAGGAGAACCCCAGCTCCAAGTGTGACGGCTCCGGTTGAAGACGCTGTCGAAGTTGACAGGGTTGAGCTTCCAGCCAGTCGCGACTGCCGAGACATCCTCGTACAGACCGGCGATGAGCGCAACATGACCTGGACGAGACTCGGTGGGCACGCGCGTATGTGACACGCCAAAGGTGCCGTGCTTCAGGACGCGGGATCGTAGGAAAGGGGCCAGTGGCCGCGGGGCTAGATCGTCCTCGGATTCGGGGTAGGGTTCTGGAAAGGACTGGAAGGCCTTGTCTGCTCGTAGACCATCTCCTATAATTAAGGCTTAGTAACTTGCCTCCATCACGACACTAGGTAGTGGGAAACAGGAGAACGTACCAACAAAGAGAACCAAACGATCGGCGGGAGCCTTGACATGATCGGGCCGGTCGATCTGGATAAGTTTCATGCCTGAAACGATTGGACTAACAAAGTAAATGTCGAAAATAGAGTAGATATAGGCGAGGTGAAAGACGACTGCGACGGCTAGAAAGCCGGCGCGCGAAGAGACAGCCATGGCGGGCAGAGCAGCGAAATGGTACTGTCCTCGGCTCTCGTCGAGACTTCCCGTGTCGCGTTGTCGCTTCGCTTCAGCGGCTCGGGAGATGTGGCAGAGGCAGAGCCGACAAGGACCGAAGGAATACTTGCTCTATAGCTTGGTTCGACCCGTTCAGCGCCGCTCGAGTCGTCCCGCGGAATGGCTGGGTTTAAAGAGTGAAAAGACGAGGGGACCAGGGGCTTCTTCTGTGCAAGGGAGTGGAGGCGCATTCATTTTACAGCGAACCGCATTGCTCTCAGGGCTGTTGAAGATGCGCAGCGCTGGGTTTTCTTACCCATGGGAAACACGAAACCACAGCAGTCCCGTCCAGCCTGGTGGAGCGCCGTGCGATCCAGATTGAATCAATCACGCTTGTTGCATCAACGCCGAGATTATTGGTCTCTTCACGACACGTCGACAGCCCGTAATGCACCGGTTTTTGGAGGTGCAGGGATCCACGGTCGGATGGACCCACTTCGACATCCTAGTGTAGAAGCCCACGACAGGGCGCGGGAGCGGCTGTTTGCACCTAGCGGGGATCTGTAGGTACAGCTTCTGTATCGTAGGAGTTGGCAGCGCACATGTAGTAGAATGGCAGGATGGCTATCGCCCCTTTAACCTCATATTCAGCAAATATTTTCCCTCTTCGCCCCTATAAACCCGGCTTACCATAGGTACCTAAGCTGGAATGACACTGGCACATGACCTCTCGACATCATGGTGTCTGTCTCCTGCGAGTGCGAAGACGTATCAAGCAAGCAAATAGTAGGTACATCATCCCGGCGCTCTTATTCCTGTCAGACTTGGTAGACGGGTACTTGGGGATCTCTTTAGATTGAGACACATGAATAGCCAACCTCACGTCCCACGCCACTGTTATTTCTTACGTGTTCATTGCCGCAGTAGAAGACTATTCACAGTGCCCTTGAGTAGGTAGTTATGAATTTCGTTCTGTGCACCGAGATCCGGGAACCGTTGCTTACGATGCCATGCCTCGCCGAGCTAACAGCAGGTCATCTATTTCAAAAACCAAGACGAGCATCGGGCGAAGTTTATATATTCAAGCAGCGTCGAGGAAACACAACCTTGCAGGGTATCGTATAGACCAACTTCAAACGCCACTTGCGTGCCACGTCTGGCCATGCCACTAACGAAAAGAGACAACCAGCTCGGATAAACTAATCGATGCGCTCAGTCAAAGACTTGACTACACGCGCATAGAATTTCGCCGCATGCGGTCGAGGAAAAGTGATTTCCTCCACTAGGAAGTCGGGGAGCATGTCGATCAAGTCATGGTCTCTATTTTCGTCAAGCTGCGGCTTGTACGTGAAGTGTGCCTCTTCGTAATTCTCACCCGAGCTCTCACTCTCGACCTCGAGCTTGAAGTGAAGTGCTAGGAGCGCAATTAGTACAATGAGCCGAGCCACCAAGATACTGCAAGTAGGTGTCACAGAGAGTAAACTTACTTCCGTTTCTTCCCGTCTGGATGCAGTCGAAAACCTGACCGTTCGAGTCGCGCTTCGTGACCCTGACAATTAGCCCGGTCAAATCGCCATAAAGGTCCTCCTTCAATTGCCCCGTTTGCACCACATCTGAGCTAGCGAGAGCTCGAGCAGCAGCGCTACCGCCCTTGATAGCACTGCCAGGAACTGTCTTTGTACTCGCCGCAGCTTCAGCAGATCTGCTCGCGGCTAGCTTTGTCGACAGCGTCTTGACTTCTTGTCTCGTTTCAGCCAGTGTTGTAGTCAATGCTGCCACTTTCGCCTCCATCTCCTCAAGCTGCTTCTTGTACTGCTGTCCCACCTTCGCCAGATCCCGCTGCATGGCAAGATCGGCTTTGAGCTGGCCTATAAGCTCGCTCGCGGCTTGAAATGTTAGCACTAGTCGTCGTCGACGTCAGTCGGGTACTTACTGTTTGCTCGTTCCTCGCTCTCCTTTTTGAGATTATCAAAGTTGCGTTCGGCGACCTTGACTCCAATGTCGCGAAGATCCCGGTACTTTGCCTCAAGATGATCAAACTTCCTTGTTGTCTCGCCTAACTTCCGCCGTAGTTGCGCTTCGCTCGCTTCCACATCTGAGCTCCCGCCCGCCCGGCTGGTATGGCGGGCAGGCTGCCGTGGCACCGGCAGGTCTTCGAACTGATCATCCAACTCCATCTCAACGTCCATGACATCTTGAGCCTGTGTCTTCGGGATTTCCAATTCTTCATTCCGTGTCGGATTGGTAGCAGGACGGCGTCCTCGCTTGGCTGACGGTGCGGTGTGCTTCGCGGCGGAATCCGGTACCTCGTCCGAATCATCTGTTTTGGACACTGCTGCGACTGCGGCTTTTGGGCGGCCTCTGGGCTTGCCGACACTCGGCTTTATTAGAGAGGTAACGCCCCCGTCGTTTTCGGCCATCTCTTCTCCCTCTTTTTCATCCTTCGCTGCTGCTTTGCGGCCCCTCTTCGGAGCCTTGCCTTCGACCATGGTTGATATGTCAACCGCTCCCTCCTCTTCTGCCTTGCTGACTGCGGCTGCGAGCTTGGGATTCTTGTGTGTTTTCGTTGCTCTTTGCGATGGCTTCGTGACCTTGTGGGCGGCTGGAGGTCTGCCTCTGGCTTTCTTCGCTAGCGGCATCTTGTAATCTTTTGTGCTGTTACTGTTGACTTTCGCGCCGAGACCGGAAAGTTCATCGGAATCCGAATCCACCAAAGCGAGCAACTTGGACGAGCGAGCAGCATGCGACATTCGCGCCCGGAAATTGGGTTCGTGGTGAGGTAAGTTGACGGGCGCAAATTACGCAACGGAGTAGGTAGTCGGGGTTGGGCACACGTCTGGAGGATACCCAGTGTACGATCAGTGTCGCGCCGTAGTCGCGATTTGTGGGTCGTTGATTTGTTACTGAGTAAAACAGTGTATCGTGTCCCTCAGGAAGTGGTGGTGCGCACGGTATTTAAGATTTCGGTCCCAAATGCGAAGCAGAGGAGGAGAAAGCATTTGCTCCGAAGCGGATATTTACAGTTACCAAGGAAGGCTATAACGACTTTGCGACGAAAAAGTAAACAAAGGGCCTAGCAGCAACCTCTCGAGCTGCCGGACCTGGGCAAGGTTGACGGGTACCAGATCCCGGTCGAAGCAGCTTATGGCCAGTGCGCATGTGTGGCGGTGCCCATCACTGCCATTGACTGCCATTGAGGGAAACTACCTAGGTAGGTACTCCGTACTATTAGTGCAACCATATGTGGCTTGGTTTTCTCCCCGTACCACGGGTGGCGTTGAGTCGGCTCAGTTTCTTGAACGGGGGCCACGTCTCGTTCGCCGCCCGCCGTCTCTCCATCACCTGGGTGCGCCCAACGAAGCCATTACACAATCTTTGCTTGCCGACGTGGAACCTCTGGACGACGTTCTTATCTTCATTGCAATAACACTCGTCGTCAAACCTCTGCCCGGTCCACAACGACCGCTGACTCGCTGTGACCTTGCACATTCGGCAGTCTCAACCACATCCTGTCGGCCCTTCGCCGCGACGCGAACACTGATGACGGGTGACCTTGACCGTTGGCTGGGCTCCGTCGGAAAACTCCTCGGCATGGGCGACCGCAAGAAGGGTCTGGGTGACTTCGCCCTGGACTTATTGTTGGTGGCTGGCATGGTAAATGGACTCATTAAATACCAGAAACGAAGGCGTTTACTTGAAGGCTAACTTGACATTGAAGATGGCAACCGGCGTATACCTTGCAAGGAACTTCTTGTCATCGCTCACCAATACCCTCGCCGACCCCGATCGAGAGAAACACGAGCAAGCACGATTGCAGGCGAAGGCCCACCTGGAGCGTTTGCGCAAAGGGAAGAATGCCGGCAAATCTGGCGAAGACCCGTCCGACGACAGCAACGCATCTCGCCGCGGACCGAAGCCAGAAGAGTTGGTGTTAAATGAGTACGAGAACCTTATTGCTCTGGAAATGGTGGCCCCGGAGGATATCCCTATTGGGTTCTCTGGTAAGCATTATACACGCATGCTGATACGGCGCATTTGTCCGGGAGCTTTGCTAACGAGCTATGGCAGATATTGGCGGCTTGGAGGATATTATCGATGAGCTCAAAGAGTCTGTCATATATCCCCTAACTATGCCACATCTGTACTCTCATGCGGCACCACTTCTGTCCGCTCCATCTGGCGTATTGCTCTACGGCCCCCCTGGATGCGGCAAGACCATGTTGGCCAAGGCGGTCGCCCGCGAGAGTGGCGCATCTTTCATCAACTTACACATCTCGACTGTTACCGAGAAGTGGTATGGTGACTCGAACAAGCTGGTCCGCGCTGTGTTCTCACTAGCTCGCAAGATGCAGCCTGCTATCATTTTTATCGATGAAATCGATGCTGTCTTGGGCACAAGAAGGAGCGGCGAGCATGAGGCTAGTGGTATGGTCAAGGCAGAGTGAGTGACTGGAACTATGGCTGCTTGGTGTTCACCGGCTGACGAACCAGGTTCATGACCCTTTGGGACGGTTTGACATCGTCAAACTCTTCAGGTATGCCGGCCAGAATTGTGGTTCTGGGGGCGACAAACCGGATACACGACATTGATGAGGCCATTCTCAGGCGAATGCCCAAGAAGTTCCCGGTTTCTCTGCCAAGCAAAGAGCAGAGACGGCGCATTCTGCAGCTCATTCTCAAGGACACAAAGACCGATGCAGATTTTAGTCTGGAATATATCACAAAAGTCACTGCCGGCATGTCGGGCAGCGATATTAAGGAAGCATGCCGCGATGCCGCCATGGCGCCGGTTCGTGAGTATATGCGAGAGCATCGGGCGAGCGGCAACTCCATGTCCAGCATCACGCCTGAGCACTTTCGGGGGATCCGTACAGAAGACTTCTTTGGAAGGAAAGGTGGCGGTCAGATTCTGATGGACAATCATGCCAAGCATTCAACGAAGGCTTCAGGGGCATCAGCAACTGATGAGTACGAGGATATGGTGGAGGAGTTGGGGTGAGAAAGAACATATCAGTCGACGTAAATAGCAAATGTCGGACTGTGTGTCAACACGTTTTGAAAGTGTGTATCTGTTTGACCACGTTAGAAGCGTCGAACGGGAAGACGATTGTTTGATTTTCTGTGGTTTTAAGGATAGATTTATGCGGGAAGGGCAAGACCAAGACCTTCAGCATCCTGCAACGCCAGCTTCTGTACAATAAGTGTGCAAAGTGTACGAGGCCAGTGATGCATGGATATTATTAGACCATGGAGCTATACAAGCCTGTCTAGTCGACAACTTGCAATCAGTTGTTGATTGGCGGTTTCTATGAGTGCATCTTCTGTCGCCTAGGTACCTCGGGCTTGTCTAATGGACAATGACTGCTTATTGAGGTACGAATCCCTCCGAGATTGTTGAGAATATGATATGTACCGTACTCCATGCCAACCGCATACATGCGCTAGGTGCATTGACCAATTCCGACGCCGCTCTTAACCTCCGCATCCATGTTCAGGGTTCAGGCTGTCCCACAATCGCCGACCTTCGGGGGGCGCTGGACACACCGACAAATCACGTCATCCGGGGGTATCCACAGTGGTTGTTGTCAGTGCTGCTGGAGTCACACGCTCCCATCTCCCCAAAAGCCCGGTCGGTCCCTCCCCTCTTTGGTGATGAAGTAAAACTTCTCCTATACATCTACAAGCATACATCTTCTTCATCCTTACTACCAAACACCTGCTTCAACCGAGTACGCCGGTGCTGCGTTTGGACAATTGACTTGCTGAGCAACTCACTCTGTCCGCGGCGACAAGTCTGGCTCTTTACAAGGCCAGCGGTAGTACTGTACTCGACCCATTCAACGCCTGTCCGTAACCTCTGTTTCCGCCTGGTCCATTTCAACCATCAATTGCGATAAGTCACAGACGCTTCACGTGCAGTAGCCTATCGCCAGCCTGATCAGTCGAGGACAACTTTGGGCACACTCGTTACTTTCAATTGAGTAAGCCGGCCGGCAGTACCTACCTTGCGCTACCCCGCCATCGCCACGACCTGCCTGTCTCATAATGTCTACACCGCCCAACAACGGAGCTGCGGCCAAATCCAGCAATCCCCTGAAGCGGGTTGACCTCGACGGTCACGACCTCCCTCCTTCGCCGACGCCCTCCAGTCCTCGCAATGGCCGCCGCCGCTATGCTCTAGCCACTGAGCTGGTCTATACTGATAGTAATGACCAGTATGGCGCTTCCAGCATTCCCATCTACCAGTCCGCAACCTTCAAGCAGACCTCTGCCACTGGTGGTAATGAGTACGATTACACTAGGTCAGGGAACCCGACCCGCACCCACCTCGAGCGTCATCTGGCCAAGATCATGAACGCCACGAGAGCTCTTGCCGTTGGTTCCGGCATGGGTGCCCTAGATGTCATTACTCGCTTGTTGCGCCCCGGTGACGAGGTCATCACCGGCGACGACTTGTACGGAGGTACCAATCGGCTGCTTGCATACCTGTCCTCTAACCAGGGAATCATTGTTCACCATGTTGACACCACCAACGTGGAAAACCTTCGCCACGTCGTCTCTGACAAGACGGCCATGGTTTTGCTCGAGACGCCGACAAACCCTCTCATCAAGATCGTCGACATCCCCTCGATTGCTAAGCTTGTGCACGATGTCAACGACAAAGCCTTGGTTGTTGTTGATAACACTATGCTCTCGCCCATGCTCTTGAACCCCCTGGACATCGGTGCTGACATTGTGTATGAGTCGGGTACGAAGTATCTATCTGGACACCATGATATCATGGCAGGCGTGATTGGTGTCAATGACTCGTCCATCGGGGACAAGCTGTACTTCACCATTAACGCCACCGGATGTGGTCTTTCGCCCAACGACTCATTCCTCCTTATGAGAGGTATCAAGACGCTCGCTATCCGTATGGAAAAGCAGCAGGCCAACGCTCAGCAAATCGCCGAATTCCTCGAGTCCCATGGATTCAAGGTCCGATATCCAGGACTCAAATCCCACCCTCAATACGACTTGCACTGGTCCATGGCTCGTGGTGCCGGCGCCGTTCTGTCGTTTGAGACTGGCGACGCCGCTCTCTCGGAAAGAATTGTCGAAGCTGCTAAACTATACAGCATTAGCGTGAGCTTCGGCTGTGTGAACAGTCTGATCAGTATGCCTTGCCAAATGAGCCATGCCAGCATCGACGCCAAGACCCGGAAGGAGAGGCAAATGCCGGAGGATCTCATTCGGCTCTGTGTTGGCATTGAGGACGTTACGGATTTGATTGAGGATCTCTCCCGTGCCGTAAGTAGCTATCTTAATCCATAACTCTTAAGTCAAGCTAACTGTCACGCTAGCTCGTCCAGGCGGGAGCGGTCCACGTGACTTTGGAGGGATTTCATGCGGCCCAGTCTGTCCAGGAGGCATGAAAGTTGTGACCGGACACGGAAATGCAACACTGTAAATGGACCTGGGTGGGCTCGCAGGTTTTTCACAAGTGCGGAAGAAATTCCATAACTACAATATGATGGCACTTGACTGTAGAAACGCTCGGGTACGTTTTAGAAAGAAACAAAAGGCAAAAGTTCAAGGTCAATGGAGTCAAACAAGCTGAGGGAAAAGGAAGGGGGACGAAGCTTAGATTATCCTACCACGGCGTCGTATGGAGTTACTTTGAAACAACATCACCGCTCTTGCCGTAATTCTTACTCAAGGCTCGTATCACCAAGTGAGCAATATGTATGCCTCGTTGTCTTATTTTACAACACGTAAACATGCGCGATACTAGTGTTTTACATGGATGCGTAGTTACGTGACAGAGCCTTCCCCTTCGACGCAGTACATTTAAACGGTCTCAAATGATACATGCATGGCTGGGCGTAAGGTCAAAATCAAAAATGGTGCATGCGCAGAGAATGGTTCTACTGCACACTATACTCCCAAAATAGACCTCCAGAAGAACTCCAGCCTGCGATGGAAGAACAAAAGACTCAATGATGTAACGGTAAGAGTATTCATGAAAAGTCGAAGCGGTCAGGGAGAATGACCGGAGCCACCAATGTCCAAGCGTACATGGCATAGCAGACCCAGGCGCTGACAATCTTAACCCAACTAGCCCAATATGACCGGCCAACAGGGGCAAAGTTACCATCGGCATTCTGGTCGTCGTAGCTTTGGGTCAGCAGGGTTGCGATCCATGTCGTTGCTAAGAAGAAAATGATGTGGAACACAGTGTAGTTGTATTGGGTCCTTGTACGCTCGTCATCACCGTGAGTATGACTGCCGCCGGCCTCGCTCTCGTCATCAGACAAAAGGGCGTCCGCCGGCAAGCTGCCCTCTTCAACTGCACGACGCAAAGCCTCGGCTCGCATCTGCTTATGGCCATTGGGCTGCTGGGTGACGAGGTCATGTTCGTCCTCCTCGGGAAGACGGATGCCGCCAGAGGAGCCTAATCCAAGACTCTGGGTAGCAGCCCTCGTGGTGGTGTACGCAATGGTAAGCATTGTGACAACGGCACCAATAACAACCGAAGTCGTCCGAGTGCCTTGCGCACGAACCAGTGGATTGCACTGTTTGTCGTCCGGTTCCATCGAGACGGCAGACATGGTTAAGTAAGTGCAGTAAACGGCGACCATGGCGCCCTGGGCCAAGCCAGCCTTGGGATTGTACTCCTGAACTGTGGGGTGAACCGAAATGAATGAAATGGCAATCCAGAGCAAGAGGTTGATGGTGATGGCCGCCTGATTCATGGAGCAGCCGGACCCAGCGAAGAAGATGTACTGGACAATGGTCATGGCAAGAGAGGCAAGGTACATGCCCAAAGTTGAGCCAATGAGCACTGTCCGCCAGACCTTGGAATCAGTATCTTCGATCTGTTCGAGGCAGTATTCGGCCCAATTATGTGCGAGATCAACAAGCAGGATGAGGCCGAGGATGAGGAACAACATTCCCCCAAAGCGAGCTATGTAGGCGCCGTAAAACTGGAAGAACTCGTCGGGGATCAGGAAAGAAAGGACAACAAAGGCGAGCCAAACGATGACTTTGGGGCCCCAGTAACCATTTTGAATGGCGGCGCGTGGATTCTTGGAAGACGTGACACCAAAAAGGAGGCCGGCAAAGATGAGATGGAAGAGGCCCAGGGCAAAGTTGAAGCGGTGGACCGCCATCCAACCGTAACACTGACCGTTGGGGCAGTCAATCTTGACGTAATCGAGCATGAGATGTTCGAGCTTCTTGATGGCCCACGGGGTAAGCATTATCCAAGACAGAATCGAGTTAACGAGGAGTATGAGGGCGTATCCGATGCGGGTGGCGACACTGCGGACAATGTTAGAACCATCACGATTCGCGGGACACTGATAAACGCACCTGTTGCCGCATTTCCCACAGGCGCTGCATACAGCTGAGCATGTTGCTGCACCGCAGCAACTGGCAGCAAAGCCTATGACCTTTATGGTGTTAGCTGGCGATGATCTTATCGCGATGGAAGCCATGTGCCAGAAGTGATGCAACATACCGTGCCCATACTCGGTACCGCCATTAACGGTAAAGACAGCAACGCACCCATGGTGCCAGACGCGCGACCGGTTGTATACAATGTACAAGAGGGTGTGCAGGAGTCGTAATAGATTGATGGGAACGGTGGTTTTGGTGTCGTATTGTAACAACTGTCGTGATTCGAGGCTGGAATCGGAAGCCTTGCGCTTGTGCAGTCTGAAAGCCGTCTCGACAACCAGAGAAATGGGGTGGCTTGGGCGATGGATGCTCAGGGTGCACGTGAGATTACGTACCCCCCCCCCCCCTCCAACCCCCCCCAACCCCAGCCCCACTCCCGAGCCACCCCAGTGAGTTACCGGTCCCCACCCCAGAACCTCTCTGCCGAAGTCGGCCAACCTCCGCCATCGGCACCGATGCACAGATGCACCGATTCCCAACATCTTGTACAGACACACAGCCGTACAACCACCTTCCGATTTGGCACATCATCTATCACCTTCCCTGCTAAGCCCGCTTATCGCGAAGATCTGAGTGGAAATGCGGAAAAGCTCAGTATTTCTCTCTCCATTTCAACGCCCGGACGAAGCACATCTAGCTCATGTCAATGCGTCCGCAAGACACCGTAACGTGCTAAGACGTTGAATCTCCAGATTCCAACGCAACCCGTGTCACACTCTCATCAGTAGGCAAGGCTTCTGTTTTGCCCAATGTTGCCCAGTCATGGCAGCGGGTTTCCTTCTCACCCTTTGCTCCAGCGTTTCGGCCTCTACACGTGTCTCGGAAACTGCATTCTTAAGGCGTTTTGCCTGGTTCAAAGACCGTTATCAATTGAATCCACATCTTCAGTCGCACTGATTATGGAAGGTACAAATCAGCTTCGCGTCATGTTATCAGTCCTTCCTTACTTGAATATACAAAGTGTAAGAAGGCTCGATTCTAGGGGTTTGTGAAGCCACAGCCGTTAATTTCGTAGAACGGTCGATGGGCATTTCGTCGATAAGCGCCAAGCCGCTGTGGATCACAGATCACAGAACCTGACTAAACCACAGGAAGTGTTGCGCGCAGTGAATTGTTACCTTTTCCTGTTCTTCAAGGTGCAGTCCGACTAGTCCTCAACCCCGCGCTGCTCCATGTATGATGCCGAGGAATGAGGTCAAATGACTGAGCCATCGCTATGTATCGCACGAACCAGCCCTATACAGATGATGAACTAACGACTGGGTTAGTTTATACACAGCTAGCGACACGAAGGCATGTTAAGACGGATTAACTAGTGAGTGGGTGGTGCTCGACTGGTGTCGTATTTGATACGTCGAGACATGCAAATAGAGGTTTCACGCCTGTCAGGCGGCGAGGACGGCAACGCATGGGGATCAAAAGCAGGGGTTGGAAGGGGCACTGGAGGGAGCCCCATCCAGTTGACACATGCGCTGGCTACCTTGCGCAGGAGTATACACACAAGCTCACAATGTCCCCCCCCCGGTAACCTCAGAGTACCGTGCACAATGGCCCGTGCAAAGGTCCGCACATAATAGATACAGCTAGATAAGGATTTAGCTAATAGGCTTATATAGATTTGTATTTCTAAAAAAAAAAAAAATTTCTAGAGTATATATAGTAGAAATATTTCTAGACTAATTAGAAACTAACTTATAAAAAAATATAAATAGGTTTAGGTAAAAATAGGAGATATTTCTTAACTAATTAGGTATTAAAGTATAAAAAAATATAGATAGGTCTAAATAAAAATAAGAGAAATATTTCTAAGTTAATTAGTAAAGTATATACTAAGGGTCTATAATTAGCTACTAAGTCTTTAAGGTCTATTTATTTTCCTAACTAAGAAAAAAAAAAATTTTATATAATAATTTATTTTATAATTACGCTTTTATCTTTATATTTATAATAATAACCTAGAAATATTTCTAAATTATTTCTTTATAATATTTTTTACTTTTTATAATATAAAGGCTTATAAGTAGTATACTAATAATAATAGCTACTTTAGTAGCCTTTTTTTTATAAAACTAACACTATAAGTAATATAAAAATATTTTTAAAATATTTCTAAAGCTAATAATCTCTAAGTAAGGTTATATTATTATTACTATAAGTAAAGTTTAGTACTATACTATTAATTTTACTTATAAGGTTAATAGCCTAAATAGTAAAAAGGTTATTTAGGAGACTTTTTATTATAATATAAGTTTATTTTAAAAATATTTCTTAATTAATCTTAATTTTTTTTAGAAATATAAATAGTTCTCCTTTAGTGCTATTAAGAAGTATCTAAAAGATACTTACTTTCTTAAGGTAGCTCTATCTATAGCTAGTAGCCTAAAGGCCTATAATAATTAAAATACTATTAGTAAGTAACTATAAAAATAATTATAAAACGTTTCTAAACTAATTAATTATTTTTTTTATAAAGTACTATATTAATATATATAAGTTAGTATATAGTATTAATATTAAGCTTATAACCCTTTATAAAGTAAAAGTAGTTATTAAAGACCTAGCTTTATTACCTCTCCTAACTAATACTTATAGTAACGTAAGTTAACTTAGAAACGTTTTAAAAATATTTTACTAATTAATATTATCTAAATTAACTATATTATAATAAAATAAGACCTTAGTATAAAGGCTACTATATATTATAATACTTATACCTCTTAAAATAAGGTTAGTTATAGTAAGTTTACTTTTAGAAACGTTTTTAAAATATTACTAATTTATTTTTTATTATATAAATTACTTTTTTACTAAAGGTTATAATTCTACTTATAACGTTTAGTACTATTATTATTATTCTAACTATAACCTAAAGTATAATCTCTTTAGTATATATTAAAAACGTTTTTAAATTATTTTACTTACTAATAATAAATAAAGATACCTTTTACCCTTACTAAGCTAAGATATACCTATAAGGTTACTTATACCTATACTTATACCCCTAAGCTATAAAGGATAAAGGATCTAGAAACGTTTCTAGAATATTTCTTACCTAGATAAGTATCTAGTGTCCTAGAATTCTTAGAGGTTAAAGTTAATATAGGAGAGATAAGAAATATTCTAAAAACGTTTCTTAAATAATTAAGGAAGAATAAGCTAAAGAAGATATAACGTTTAAAAAATATTACTTAATTAAATAAGGAATATTACCTAATTAAATAAAAAATATTTTTAATTTTTTTTTATCTTAATATTATATAACTTATATCTTATAACTGCCTAATTTTATATAATATTTTTTATATTTTTAGTTATATATTAATTATATATTAAGTAAAAAAAGCGTTATATAATAATTAATTAAATATTAGTTCTACTTTATCTTTTAGTGCTTTAATAAACTATATATAGTAACTTTTTAAAAATATAAGTATAACTTTTTAGCTATATAATAGTAATTTCTTTTTATTATATACTTTAAATATATTCCTTATACTATTAAAGTACTATAATACACTAGCTTTTTATTAGTATATTAGTAGAGATACTAGTAGTTTACGCTAGCCTTATTTTTTACTATTTAAGTATAATTAGGTATAGTTTTTCTTTATAAATAAAGACACTTTAATAGAAGTAGTAAAGACGTATTATTATTATAGCTAGTAAGCTATTTTATTACTTCTTAAATAATAATAAATAGATATTATATTTTATAGTAAGCTATAAAGGTATAGTAAAAAATAAAAGCTAATATCTTATAAAAATATAAGTAGTTTTTACTAAGTGCTTTTAAGAAGTATATTAAAATAACTTATAGTTATAATACTACTTCTTTTTTTACTAGTAGTTTAAAAAGTTATAATAATAAGTATACTACTAGTAAGTTTTTTACTAATAGATTATAAGTAAGGTCTTATATATATAGATTTCTATATTAATATATATAAGCTAGTAATAAGAAATAATATTATATTAAAAACCCCTTAAAAAGTAAAAGCTATTTAAGCTAATAACTATCTTTTTAATATATTACACCTTATAAATAAAGATATAAGTAGAAATATTTCTAAAATATATCTTAAGTAAATCCCTAATATACTTTAGCTAGATTTATAGTAGATAAGAACTACCTATAGTCTATAGTAAAATAAATATTATAACACCTATAAGTTATAAAATAAAGTTAGCTAGAGTAAGTAGGATATATACTACTAGTAATTAGTAGCTAACACTAAGAAATTAGGCTATTTACTCCCTAATAGATATAATTTAGTATATACTATTTAGTAGTCTTATTACTATCCTAATCTTAATAATAGTAATAAAATCTTAGGTTTATTCTTTATATATATTAATTTAAACTTATAATTTAATACTAATAAAAAAAAATTCCCTAGAAATCTAATAAGTTTACCTTATAGGTAGTAAGTAAATATAGCTTATTAGGCTATATTATAAAAAAAACTTTTTTTTTTTACTTTTATCTTAATCTTTATAGCTTTATTATTTCCCTCTTAAGTAGTAGCTTATTTCTTTATAGCTATATTTCCTCTTTTTATAGTGTAATTTTATTTTTTTTCTTTTTCCTCTTAATTTCCTTTTAACGTTCTTTATTTTAAAGCTATTACTCCTTATTCTAAAGCTACTACTTCTTAAAGTGTAATACACTTTAGTTAACTTACGCTTATATTTTAGTTACTTATTATTAGAGACTTATCTAAGGATAAAGGGAGCTTTAACTTATATTTAAATACTAATTTTAAAAGCTTTATTTACTTCTCCTTTTTAATTACTATTATAAAATACCTAAAGATAATATAGAATTTTCTTTACTATATTACTTATTATCTTTAGTATTATAGAAGCTAAAGTCCTTAGAGTTACCTAGAGGGCTACTAAGTAGACTACTAATTAAAGATTTATAAGCCTTAGGCTAACTAAAAAAGTGTTTTATTTAATTACTTTAACACCCCCTTTTTTATATAGCTTACTTTTACTTTATAATTTTAATTAGTAAAAAATAAAAAGATATTAAATAGAGCTTACTTTACTATTATATTATTATATTAATATAGCTTAAAATTTTAGTGTCTCTATAT